GCATAAATAAAATAAATAAATAATTATAATTGCATAAGTTGATAAAAAATGCTATGCAATAGCTTTACCACGGCAGTCCCCGAGTGCCACACGTATTTTTTTTTAATATTAAATAAATGTTTAGTTTCTATTTTATTATTAATTCAGAGACCCTCAAACCCCACATTAAAGGATTCAGAAAAAGAAGATATCAATATGGGGCGATTCATTTAAAATTTCATCCGATGACGTCATATCTTGATAAATATGACAGATGATGAAAATCTCCAAGCGTCATTAAATAGTGCATAAAATATACAAACAACTTTATTCGGGTTAATTTTCAATACAATCCATAATTGAGCCACAAATCAGATGTTCCGCCAATTTTGCCCAACTCTGTATGTAGGTCCTATCTAATGCATGTCTACTGTTGGACAGTTTTCGGACACTCCTCGTATATTTATCTACAGACAGTTTCATACAAAGCAACAATGCTGCCAATATTGAAAATTCAAATTACTTTTGACATGTCGGTTTGAGTCAACACTGACATTTCTGTCAAATGCACGATCACACGTTAACAATTTTAAACTAATTTTAATGTATTTTTAATTTGTTTTGTACATAGTTTTGTACATATTTATGGATTTTAGTAGCTATAGACAAGAGTTTTTCATAATGGATACATCTGAAAGTAAGTTTGATCACAATAAATTCTGTATCTATGTTATACTTCTCCTTTTATAGCATTTTTTCAATTTTCTTAATTCATTTCAAGACAGAAGAGGTACTTCTTTCCTTTTTTCCGCCGTTCTTTATTCTCAACCAAACTGAAAGTTAATTTTTTTGAAGGAAAATTTATTTGATCCAATCGTCCAATCTAAGTAACTCACAGGAATTCCATAACTTATCTGTCTCTCTAGGATCTCCTGAACTGACTCCTATCCTTATTTTTTGTCGCAACAATTGCCGAATCTAAATATTTCGCAGAAATTCCGTATTCTATCTATATCTCTAGAATTTCCTTAACTCTGTCCCTTATCCTCCTAATCTCATGAAATATTATATCAAATTGAACAAAATATTTAAAATAATATATCATAAATTATTGAAAGTCTCTGATTCTGAAAAGGGCGACTATTTTTATTCTAGGAACGTCATTTGTTTGATTTTATACTGATTTATTAACCTTCGTGAATAATAAACAAAGTGTGATAATTTGTGTTCGGTAGGAATTAATCGATATTAAAAAAAACTGATTTAATATACTATTCTAAGCTAAAAACATTCCTGTTTAAATATGTATAGTTGAAAATTAACATTTACCAAAAGTGATAAAGTAAACTTTGCGCTTCATTTCTAATAATGTGTTTACTAGCTTTATATTATATACAGAGTAGGCTACTGAAAACAATCTATTTTAATATTTGTTAGTACCTAATTATATTGAAAAAAAAAATGCTAAACAAAAATTACTAAGTCGTATCTGATGTATACAACAAATAATGCTAAATATTGCAGATGACTTTAATACATTAAAAATATGACGCGCTAGAGTCATACGTTTACAAAGATGTTACCTCGAATATTGCCAAAAATGTAGATACTACTTATTAGAAAGGCAATATAGACATTTCTAGATTTAAACCATAGAACCATTTTTTGAGTTAATGATTAAACTTTTGAATCCGCGGGATAGCCTTTAGGGCTACTATAAATTTGCTTTAAGAACAAAGAGGATAATTCTATAAAAGTAATATTAAAACATTGTTTCAAAACTACTTAGATCCATGTCAAAGTCCGCAAGAGCATAATAAGAATATTATAAAACCATTTTTAACGCTTTTTTTTTAAGCTTTTGGTAAGAATCAGGATAATCATAAATCTTTTCTTGTTATAAAATAATTGAATTTTAAACTGTTTTACATTCATTCTGTTGTATCATATGTACAAACCGAAATGTGAACGCTAAAATTTAATGGTGTGATTTAGACTTTACATCATAGTCAAATAAATTTTCAAAAATACTGCATCATTTAACTGAGGCTCAAAAGACGAGGGCTATAGCAAAATTAGAAGAAAATTGGTTTTTAAGTGAAGTGGCTGCTAAATAAATGTCAATAAAAGTTGCATATCAGATCATCATGTATCTCACTCTTGTGAACAAATTATTTTTAAAAGACAGTTTAAAATCTAGTCAGTCAGATTTGAAATGCAAGCTTTGGAATAGCATCACCATTTTTTATAACCAGTTTTGTCAAATTAAATAGAACATTGAAGTTGCATATTCCAAATGCTATGTCACAAGATTAATCAATGTTCCAAGTTACAGTGAGTAAAATCTATTGTTTCTAAATATTCAAATGTTGAAATTTTATTTTAAAATACGTTTGAGCCAGTTTACATTTGAAAAGGCGATTTTCGTAGTCCTATTTAAATATGGGTGAGCAATCTCTATAACGATATATATCATTGGTCATATTGCGGAAAACGCACCGTGTTGCCAGATTTACGACTTTAAATAGCTATCGAGGATCGGAATACATTTTTAATGGATCATTAGCGTTAATGAGTCTATAAATATTTGACGATCAATCTTGCAACCGGCTGTAAGTGATATAAAAGTGACTGAGTTACGTCGAGAACTAGAAGATCGCGAGTTGGAAAGGAAAGAAAGAATAGCTGGCAGAGCGGCTTAAAGAAGCACTAGTAAGTGAAGATTTGGATCCGGAAACGTATCTATAATTTCTTCTTTGAAAAATAAAATGTCTTACATGGAAACTAAAGTATCTTCCAATATATTTTCTTTAGAAAATAAAGTTACTTATAATGTTTCTTCACTAAAAATGAAATTTCTTTTGATGACTTCCGTTGAGGAGAAAATAAGAGGTGAAAAAAGAAAATAAAGGAAATGGAACATACAGAACAAACCAAGGACGGTGAAATAAAGTGCCATGAGTCAAGGCTTCAAGTGACCTCTGCTCGTGAAGCCCCAACTTAAAATGTCATGGACTAATTACCTAAAACAGTTCGAAACAGCTGTAAGCGTAAACGAATGGTCTGAAAGAAAAAAAGGCAGTAAATCTGACCATCGTCCTTCAAGGAGACGTTTTAGATTATACTATATCTGTGGAAGAGACAAATGATTTTGAACAAACTTAAAAAGATACTAAAAATGCGAAATGGCCACGAACATTTGTAGCATTTATAACAATCACAGTTAAAGAATCGCAAACAGAAACGAGATGCTTTAAGTATACGAAGTAGATATTGCCAGATTGGTGCGATATGCCTACCCATCAGCTCCAGAAAACATGATGGAATGTTTAACGAAAACACTTCGCTTAGCCCGTCACAAAATATTGGTCGATATCTTGTTCGCTGCTCTAGAATATGAGGCAGCTTCTAGAGGAAACTGTAAAATGAGGACTATAAAAGAAAAGAAGTGGGGATAAACTCGACTAACTTGTTTACATATTGAAGAGTTTTACTGACAAAAAGATGAAGACGAAGACTATCAGGTACTGGAATTGCGGTGAACTGGGCCATGTATGTAGTTCGTGCAAACGCCCTAGGGCCACAACAAACCAAGGCAATACGCCGCAGGAAATCTAGAGCGGGTCAGCCTAGAGGGGGCAGCTTCGACCCGAAACTTTAAGAACAGAGTGATCAAAATTGGTGCCGAAGAGGTATTCCTTCATCCACAAAGGGACAATACCGGGCCAGTAACTTTACAAGAAGATACGATAGTACCTGGTTGAAGTGAAACCATTATAGTAGCATGGCTTCAAGAAACTGTGGAAGAAAGAACCTGTTATGATGGAACCTTGGAACCACGATGATGAGATTGGTCAAGGAATTCTGATAGCAAAGGAAATGGTCACGACTGCTAAAGAAATTCCAGTACGACTCATGAAAGTTAATGATCATCCAATTACCATTAAGAAAGAGACCATAATAATCGGAACCTATGTACCAGTAACTTCCATAAGTCGTTAGACAACAACTTCTGATAATTCCAAAGAAAAATTCAAGCAAATAATTGCAGTTGCTGGTCAATCTCTGAATCAATTAGAGAGAAGAAAAATAAAGTAATTTCTTCGACGATATCCTGACATTTGTGTGCCAAAGTCAAAGAGAGAGGAAGCTGAAAGGATTGTTCTGGAAATTGAGGAAGATAGGGTGAACCTTTTACCAGCTCATGGGTCTCTCCGGTGGTCCTGGTTTGGAAAATGGATGGAACGGCGATACATTAGACACATTGGCCGGAAGTATTCAAAGATCAGGGTCGATCGCAGGCACAGTCGCACGATAATTTTAAATATATTTTCATACAGAAAATGAACTTTTTTATAACAATGAAAAGGACCTTTTTTACAATATGTGAATTAGTAACTTTTTAAAACATATTAATTAGTTAATATTTAACAGTATAATTTGTTCCTGTACGAATGGTTGTCGAATTTGAACTGATTTCTGATGAAGCACATTTCTATGATAAAAAATGTACACCAATGGAGTAAACATCACACGAAACTGATTTATTAATTGGATTACATCATTGTAAACTCATGCTTAAGTTATAAAATACTCAAAATGTTTTCCATTAATTTATTGACAGAAAAAGTCTATTTTTACTTGCTTCATTTAATTTTTTTCGAAATTTAAATTTAATTAAGTGGAAAACTAATGAAGCAGATTTAAAATTATTTAAATTGTCGAATGGAGAATTAAAAACCCTTTCAAACGAGCTATCATTTTCTGAGGTAACGGTACTTTCATAAGAGTAACTGTTCCAACTCCGAATAATAACACGGAGTCACGTGTCAGTGTGACTTCCTTCTCTTAATAAAGTTCGGAGACAAGTCTTTTGATATACCTACGAACGTTACGAAAGCAAGTGAATGGTTAAAATTTCATGTATTGAATTTACATTCGCTGATAATGTTTCTGCATTTCATTCATAGGTAAATTCGAACTTTGCATCTCTATTATAGCATTGTCTTTATTCGTTTCAGATCCGCTTCATCGTCTAGTAGTATAGAGCCTCTCCAAGCTGTCAACAGATTGCGAGTGTCACCGCCGACGTCCCATCTGCGCATGTGCTCTCGTTGCTCCAGTCTCCTGACGTTAGCATCGAGTTCGCGATATTCCTTAAACTCGACGACCGGCGGCTTCGTACCCGTGCCACCCGGCGAACCCCCTTTGCTATGCAAGCTCTGTCTATCGGAGGTGCCTTCACAGAATATTTTGCATATACAGCATTGTGATTGTGCCTTTTGTTTAGAGGTAAGGAAATAACTTTCGAAGAGTGAAATTATACAGGATTTATTCAATAACTGAGCTATAATTAAATCTGATGATAACACTAATGATATTAATGATATTAATGATATTAATGATATTAATGATATTAATGATATTAATGATATTAATGATATTAATGATATTAATGATATTAATGATATTAATGATATTAATGATATTAATGATATTAATGATATTAATGATATTAATGATATTAATGATATTAATGATATTAATGATATTAATGATATTAATGATATTAATGATATTAATGATAATAATAACGATATTAATGATAGCAATGATAATAACGATAGTAATCATAGAATGATGCGATTAATGATAGTAATGATATCAATGATATTGATATTATTGATTTTTTTATTTGGTGTACGGCTTCAACATCTAAGGTCATTAGCCTAGTGTTCTATGTAGGTTATGGATTATATTATTAGTCTAATACTCCATAGTGCAGGAGTATTAGTACTCTAATACTCGTTAGTACTCTAATACTCCTACACCCCTACAGACAGGCCTTGTTACTGTTTCCTTGCGCTACTTTAGGAACAGCACTGTTAATTAGAACCCTACAGTAAATGGTCGAGTGGGGAATTTTAAATAATTAAATTAAATAAAAAAATCCCGGCCAACGGTGATTGATATTATTGATATTATTGATATTATTGATATTATTGATATTATTGATATTATTGATATTATTGATATTATTGATATTATTGATATTATTGATATTATTGATATTATTGATATTATTGATATTATTGATATTATTGATATTATTGATATTATTGATATTATTGATATTATTGATATTATTGATATTATTGATATTATTGATATTATTGATATTATTGATATTATTGATATTATTGATATTATTGATATTATTGATATTATTGATATTATTGATATTATTGATATTATTGATATTATTGATATTATTGATATTATTGATATTATTGATATTATTGATATTATTGATATTATTGATATTATTGATATTATTGATATTATTGATTGATTTTTTTTAATTTGGTGTCATCGGCTTCGACTACTAAGGCCATTAGCTTCGTGTTTTGTGTAGGCTTTGTTACTGTTTCCCAGCGCCACTTTAGGAACAGCACTGTTAATTAGAACCCAACGGTGAATGGTCGAGTGGGGAATCCTACCAAGGCATCAGAATTAATTTTAAATAATTAAATTAAATAAAAAAATCCCTGCCAACGGTGGGATTCGAACCTGGGACCCTTGGATCCATAGGCAGAGACTACCACTGAGCCACCCACCCCATATTAATGATATTATTGATATTTTTTTTTATTTGGTGTCATTGGCATCGACTACTACGGTTATTAGCCTCGTGTTCTGTGTAGGCTTTGTTACTGTTTCCCAGCGCCACTTTAGCAACAGCACTGTTAATTAGAACCCAACAGTGAATGGTCGAGTGGGGAATCCTACCAAGGCTCAGAATTAATTTTAAATAATTAAATTAAATGAAAAAATCCCGGCCAACGGTGGGATTCGAACCTGGGACCCTTGGATCCGCAGACAGACTCTACCACTGAGCCACCCACCCCCCTATTATTGATATTAATGATAATGATATTAATTTTATTTTGATCAGTTTTAAATGTGTTAAAAAAATTTTAAATCACTGTATATCCAAAATTGATTACAATTTGCTAGAATAATTTTCATAAATTTTGGCATGCCGTCTTCTAAACCTATATAAATAAAATATTTAATAATGGTTACCATGCTAAATGTTTCACGTACCGATATAAAAAGTTCATATTTTTTCTCAAGGTCGTTTCAGATAACAGTGCCAATTAGGTTGTTAAAAATAATAAAATGAAAAGGCAAATATCTGGAAAAATTAAATAAATATTAATGCGTTAAAAGATTATAAATTTTGCGAATGTAAAACGAATATGTAATGTTGGTTTAATTTGTTAATGATTCGGATTTTAACATCATATATTCGCAGAAATAAGAGTTTGATAAATAATTCAAAATAAAAGATGTAATCAACGGGAGGGGTTTTAGGGGCCAGAACCCCCCCCCCCCCTAGGGGGTCTTAGCGTCACTGTTTGCGCTATCGTATTGGCACTGATCGCTACTATCTGTTTGTTTTTATTCACTTGTTTTATCGTTTTATAAAAAATTATTCATTTGTATTCACTTTTTTTAATAAAAAAAAATCTTCTCTGAAACAGTTCACATAGTTCTCAAAAAATGTCTGGTTATACCACTACAGTAATACTCAATGGAACAGAATTTCACTATGGAAATGACTATATTTAGCCCTTCTTTCTTAAATAAATCTAAAAAATATTAGATGCAATTCGGGATCTGCTAAAAAAAAAACTTTTTTAGTAAAATAGTCTGGCAACGTTGCCCCCTACAGTGAATCGCCCTGTACAACTGTTCAACGAATAAATGCCCTTTGAATCTCACAAGATATAATAATTTTAATAATATTTGCGACCGTTTTAGTCAATCTACTTCATCTGATACACCATATTCTCTTTCCACTAAGGAAAATAGTACTTGTGTAGTTCCGATCTTAATTATTTTAGACTCAACTAGCCCTCGTATCTTTATCGCAGTTTAGCCTACAAACATTTCACCACTATAATTTTGTTTTTATGTGAGTACTTAATCCATAGGCACGAAGTTCAAATTTAAATAACAAACCCGGACCTGTCTATTAAAAACAGTATAATTTACAAATACAACTTTGCTGTTATTTAAACCTATAGATAAATAGTTTTAAAAAAAACTTCGTGAGTCATTATCGTTACGACAATAGAAAAGTACGACTTGCCACCTGAGACACTACATAATCTATATTTAATATCAATTTCAAATAAGTACTACAATAATTACTGAGAAAAATAAATATTAAAATGGAGATAATATCACGCGACATACCATGTGAGACCTGGCACTTTTGTTTAGGTTTTATTTTTGCCAAGATATGTCAATTAAAAAAAAAAGAAATAAAATAATTTATTTTCACTAAATTTATGACAATGAAGTTCATAGTAAAATAAAACAAAATTTTGAAAATTTACAAAAACCGCAGTTTTAAAACTTCAGTGACTTGTAATAGGCATTTTTATATAAAAACTTTTTTAATTTGTTTTTGAAAATTGTATTGTGGCCTTTTGCACAGATATAGGAAGAAAAAGTCTTAATTCCTGCTTGTAATCAACATATTTCATACGAAGTATATTTGTGAATATTGCTTTTTAATATTTGTCTATATCTAGTATTTTATTTATGATTGTTTATTTATCCAAATAAACATTAAACATTTTAAAATATAAATGGACGGCAGTGTCAGTTTGTTTTCCGAGCTAAAAATATGTCTACAAGTTTATATTGGTAATTTTCACTGAACTTCATATTAAATTGGAAACACAAAATCATATATACAGAAACACGCCACAACATGGTGATTTTTGACAGGTTGGATTCCACTATTCAAAGGAAGTTAAAGGAAACATCAAAATTACATTCAACACTTATTACATTCAATTAAAACACATTTTAAATAAGAAAATCACTTACAAATTGTCTCTAATACGCAGTCAAAATAAATGTTCCAATAATAATATTAAAAAAAACGTATACAACGTATAGTAGTATATTTTCATTCAGAGATAATGTAAGACTGTAGATGTTTTTTTCAACATTTCAGGTATCCCTCTGCTCTCCCTTGAGGGGTCCCGCAGATCCTACTAAATCAGACTTGGGTCAAGCTATTTTCTACCCTCAATCGGGCTTGGGGTCCAGCCTGCTTCCCTTCCTATGAGGTGCGCATAACGACACTGAAGCTCATATGGCTTATTGTGCCACTATTTGGATGCCCTACTCTTTCCAATTCATTCAGCTCATGCATTCTTCACTCTAAGTGGGCCTCAAGCTGTGATCAATATTTTGAGTTTTGAATACCTTTCGCAACACCCATCGACCTGGACTATAGATGTTAGTTTTTATTATTCAAAATTAAGTACAATTTTCATTAAAGTAGGGATTATTTAGGATGTGGAATATGGTCTCGAAATGTGTTTCGTTGTCTTTTTCTTGGTGTGAGTTTAAAACCATATAGCAATTGGGGTACCGTTATACCTTTTTGAAGAATACTTTAGTGCTACGTTGGTTGTTATTCGCATTTTTTTGTTTAAATTCCCTCCCGAAGCACCTACACATAAACTATGCGATTAATTGAATTTTAAACAAACACTACGATGATATATTGAATTCCCCTTCCATGAATCACAAACTAATCAATCAAGTTGATGAGGATGAATCAAATGTTATTACTTACAAAGCGTTTTGTTCTAGTACCTACCTACAATTGTTTATTAACGTAATCATTAAGCCTATTTACAGATGTTGAAACAATTTTATTAATAAGCACAGATTATAACTACTATGAAATAAAACATACAGGCCGACCGAGCTGAAAAAGTTGAATAGAAATGACCAAACTAATGGATAAAGGATTATGGAGAAATGAGATGCAGTGAAATTTTTGAATGTTTGGCATTTTGCAATTATTGCCTGTGAGCTCAACTCAATCCTATGACTATTTTTTGATACACAAGGCGGTAAAGTAGTAAATAGGCAATTTTTTTAAAAAGGACGCGCTTAAAAATTACTAAAAATGAAATGTGGGACAAGGTGAGAATTTTGGGATGTTATAATATTTTTCAGGAATTTTGATAATTAATTTTTCACCTTTTGGGTCTACAACACAAAATAATACAGGTACAACTCACATAATATATTTAAATTTAGATTTGTTTACTTAATTTTTAATTGTAATTAATATTTTCTTACCACATTGAATGGAATACCTTGTCTTCAATAAGTGATCCTCATCATTATATTAATTCGGATTTTTTTGTTATTTAATTCTGCCTGATGATGGCTTTAAAGCCGAAACTCTTTAACTCTTTAATCAATAAATATTTTACATGTGCCATTTATTTTGATAATTGCAAAGGAATGATCTCTTTAATTTTTGTATCATGAGGATGAGATTTAACATTTGTCAAGTTTGATCTGGCTTTTCAACTCGTTTTATCTCTGCTTGGCTTGAAAGTATATTATGTTTTTCAAATATTAATTCTTTATTTGTAGTGTTTCAAATAGTTTTTGTTGTTAATTTAAATTTATTGTTTTTCAAATAATTCTTTTTTTTTTTCTAATGATTCAAATAATTTCTTATTTTTATTTTAAACTGTGTTTGTTTCTTGTTTTCAAATAAAATTGTATTTTTTTTTCTTTTTAAATAAAATTATAGTTGTTTTTTTTTTTTTCAATTTAAATTATACTTATTTTGGAATTTTTAAACATGGATAGACTAATAGGCTCTGTGCCATTCTTCAAGAATTGCGTTTATATACAGGGTAGCTGTTAAAGATGGAACCAAACCTATAGTGCTTAAACGGTTCAACATACAAAACCCAAAATTTCAGAATTTCAACTAAATATATTTGCGCAAATTTTAGCCCAAAAATTATTTTTTTTATAATTACAAAATTTTAAGCACGACCGCCATCTTGATTTTTTTAAATAGCAACATAGGTCATGTGATATACCATTTAAAAGGGTTTAACACCCTGATTACAAAAATGTATGTATTTGACGTCTTGTGTCAAATGCACAGCCTTCTACGCTCCCTATTAATAATATCCTTTTTGTTGTTTAGACCCCATGTGTGATACATTTTTGTAATCAGGGTGTTAAACCCTTTCAAATGGTATATCACATGACCTATGTTGCTATTTAAAAAAATCAAGATGGAGGCCACGCTTAAAATTTTGTAATTATAAAAAAAATAATTTTTGGGCTAAAATTTGCGCAAATATATTTAGTTGAAATTCTGAAATTTTGGGTTTTTGTATGTTGAACCGTTTAAGCACTATAGGTTTGGTTCCATCTTTAACAGCTACCCTGTATGTAGCAAAATATGTAACAAAATTTGATCATTTTAAAATCAATGGTTTTTTAATTTTTCCCCTCCAATTTTTTTTTTAACAAAATTCAGCAAGTCTTACTGCAACTGACTAGCTTTGCGTAACCTTTTTGCAATTTTGAAATAAAACTCTAATTATTATTCCTAAGGTACAACTACAAACGTGAATGTGTTTGAGGAAAATGAAGCTTATCTGAGAAACATAATTCTACTTCTTTTTAACTCTTTAAAAATTGAAAAAGTAATTTTTTGTAGAAGAGAACTTAGCCATTTAACACTCTGTTGAGGATGAAAACAAAACTAATTTATTTTCTTAACGGAATAGATAACGTGCTCGGTTAAATTCTTGATCAGTCATATCAATCTTTCAATTTCGGTTATCATAACTTAACTGTTCTCAGTTATAATAACCGCGGTGTTCAATCGTACGCCTGAATAAATGTAGTAGTTATATTTTTTAGAAATTTAAAATATTAAAAGAGAACATTTTTATACAAAATTATAAGGAAAAATTATTTAGAAGAATCTTTCATTCTTTTCATATAATAGGTCTGTTCTGGTTCTTCAGAAATATGTTGAAACTGTCCGAATAGTAGCTGACCAGTGGAACGTTTAAAAGTTTTACGCGACGAATAATTTGGTATTCAACTGTTCCACTGGATTTCGGACGGTTTGCAGCACATTTTAAAGAAACCAAAACAAGCCTAATGTTCAAGTATATGTTCTTTTGCAAGGCATTTTTCAATGTATTTTTTTTTTTTTTTTCAGTGTATGAAGATTTACGTGGAATTTGAGATAGGCCAAGGAGCATACGATATTTCATGCCCCGATGCACAGTGTCCGTCTCAGGGAGTTTTACAAGAAGAAGAGATAAAAAGACTGGCTGGAAGTGATTTACTAGAAAAACATAAGAAGTATCGACTTAATAGAGGTAAAACTCTTTTCTCAACAATCTTATAAAGTTATAAAGCCGTATTATTCCACTAAATTGTTTTAAACCAAATTATTGTACTACTTTTCTATACCTAGAACTAATATGGATAGGGAACAATTAACTTAAAACAAAATTAAAAAATGTCTAAGTTTTAAATTTCAAAAATCAGTTATCTTCACTAAAACATCATCATTTTCATTGCCATTGATAATCCTAGTTTCATATTCGTCATATAAGCTTTGAATTCATTTTTCTGCATGCTTCACACATTTGGCCCAAACTGCAGATGTTATTTCTCTTAGAAACATCGTATTTTAATGTTTTCTATAAAGATGTAGGTTATGTTCTTAGAAACATTTATTTAAATTGTACCAGTGGACGTTTTATTCTACAATATTATGATAAACTTGAACTTTATTTTTTCATTAAATTCCTGACTTGCATCTTACAGTTAAGTTTGTAATTAAATATGCTTTTTTGCTTGTAGATGCATTCTAAATATTCCATGATTTTTATTTTAATAATAGCCAAACGTGCCAGAAGACCTCTTATCATTGAAGCAATGTTTATTTTTGCTAACTCAAGTGTCAAGAAAATGTCGCTGTTTATGCAACGATTGTGAGTGGATAATTGTACGAATAAATAAATATAATTACATCTTGAATAAATAGTCCTTTAAACTTTAATTTTATACAAATATGATTTTTTACCAACAACTTTGATCTAACGACATCTAGCAATGATAAAAACTACTATCGAAATACAGGTTTATTGAAGGATTATTTCAAGAGTATCGAGAGGAATTAAGTATGATGAAATGTTTATTGTATTAATATTTTAAATTTCAATCTTATTTGCATATGATTACAGATTGCTTTGTTGTTGGCATTCTTGTTAGTAATGAAGTCTTCTTTCTAAATCTACATATTTTTTGAGTGTTATTTTTTTATTTTGAATTTCGTTGAAATAAACTTCTAAGACACTGAGCATATGCAGGGATTTCCTTTGGTATATTATTGCAACGATTGTTTAATTTAAAAATAGTTTATTTATTTATTTATAATTTATTTACACCAATTATTAATTAATTTATTTAGACTTAAGCACTATTATAATTCACACGTCTAATTTATTTAACAATTTATATTTATTCGACAACATTGATATTGAAACTTCTATCCATAAAGTCGCGCTATTTATATAAAAATATAACGGCCTAGAAAGAACCAATCTTGCTAGAAGAATCTCGAAATCTTCCTCCACACATCGGACCCCATACAGAGAAAATTCCAGTAAAGTTCGATCTTGAGTCGGGTCTCAATGACCAATGCCAGACTCTACGGCGCGGTAAAGATAAATAGAGAACAGAGTCAATTCAGGCCCCCTCCTTAATAAATAGTTCCTCCTGAAACTAAAACTGAATAGTTGTATCTGCTCCTGGAACCACTTTTACAATTTCCATTCACATGGAAATAACAAGGGACGGTTTCTGCTGAAACCTGGACACTAGGCAAATGGCTGCAGACCAGTGTTTGGACTTTGGCAGTCTTCGTTCCAACATAATTCTCTCGCTTCTTCTGTGAGTCGTGTTAATGGCTTACTAATATATGCGAACTTCCTTATAAATCTTCGGTAGTACGTACAGATCCCAAGAAAACTTCTTATTTTATATTTATCAGTTGGTTGTGGCCATTGTTTGATGGAAGTTCCTTTCTTCTTATCTACAGCTACACCATCCTTGCTGACTATATTATGACCCAGATAATTAACTTTATTTTGAAATAGCTGACATTTCTTGGGTTTAGCATCAGTTCGGCAGCTTGAAATCTTTTAAAAACATCTAAACTCTTTAGATGTTCATCAAATGTCTTCCCCAAGACTATGATGTCTAAATACACCAGGCATGTTTTCCAGGATAACCCTCTCAATACATTTTCCATGTCTTTCAAATGTCGCTGGGCATAACATAGTCCAAATGGCATGACATTGAATTGCCACAATCAAGATCCGGTGGTAAAATGTGTTTTTTCTTTGTCTACTGGGCCCATTTCCACCTGCCAATATCCAGACTTCAAGTCTAAGGTAGAAAATAGTTTACTTCCGGCCAATGTGTTCAAGTTATCGTCGATTCGAGACAGAGGATAACTGTCTTTCTTGGTAACATTATATAAATAGTGCGAGTTTGTCGATGGACGGAAAGTTTCAATTTAAGTGTTGGATAGTAAAGACAAATTGTAATAAATAAATTAGAATTGTGAGTTACAATAGTGCCTAAGTATTACATAAATTAATTAGAATGTTATAAATAAAGTGTTTTAGATAAATAAACTATAAATAAATTAAACAAACGTTACATTATATACCTTTTTAACAAGATTTCTCCTTAGTACTCTGTTTCCAATGTGTTCAAATAATGTGAGCAACTGCAGTTAACACGTAACACTGAATTTAAAATAACAAATTTTCTATATTATGCTAACGTAAAAAAATAATTCGACAACGCAAACAAGCTATGTCCGCCTATCGTATCAAATAAATGACAAAATAATAGTCTAAGAGCTAGCGGCCGCAAGGTAGTACGATCGTACCTCCGGCTGAAGTTTTGTGAAATGGTAGGTGGGACCATGAGGAAGTGTCATCTTCAAGGATTTAGTTTAAAACCCCTACAAACAAGACGTCAGACAACTCAAAGACAACTGCTAAAAACAATACAAATATTTCAATAGAAAACTTATGACTCATGATCCGTTAGCACAGTTTGTAGACCACTGAACATGCAGTTCAATGTTCATTTCGCAAGGTGATTTAATTCACGATAAGGGCAATCTTTTGAAGTAAAACTTCTTAGGCCGCAGATCGATATTTGACGAGTAGGTAGCGGTCCGATATTTTACGAGAACGGAGAGTGAAATTTCAATTAAAAGAACATTGATCTTGAGTTTATATATTGTTATAGAAAATAAAAGCATAAAGTGACAATGAGCATGTTGGAAAAGAGTTAATGCGATGTTATATACAAATAACATTGAATTAAAAGGTTTACTTACTTACCGAAATTTGTAGAGACTTGAATTTAAGGAACACTCAGTATAGTATTATTGATACCTAGTCAACCATTTATGAATTGTATTTGAAACTAAAATAAAATTGAAATTTAAACCTTAAATTTATAAAATGAAATAAATGGAATGAATCAAAAAAAATAATAATAATGATGTGATCAATAAAAGAGAAAATTTGTAAAATAGTTATAAGCTACAGTTTAAACGTTACTAGTTAAAGAAAACAAACAGTGAATAAAATAAAGTTATATCTACAAGGAAAAATATAACTTAAGTATGAAAAATTAGCTTAATGAATGACAATTTGTTACCAGAGAAAAAAAAAATAATAAATCAACAAGATAGACAGACATCAAAAATTTTGGATAAAGAAGTAAAAAGCAGATTACATTTAAATTTGATTAAAGGAGCCCTGAGTTAAGATATTGAGCTATAAAAGGTATTCTAGCTACCATTTTTACAAGGTAATTGACATAAATAATAATTTGACAAGTGTACACTAAGTGCTGAAGTTACTTACCCTTTCGACTCGCTGAGTCATAATATGCACAACATTAATAAAGACAGTTAAACATATTCCTGCAAGAGTTTGTCACTGTTCGAAATACGGACCTAACATTGAACTGAACTGGTTCACAAACAAAACTATAAACTTTCATTTTAATAGGCATTTGAGGAACACTTTTAAAACACATTTGCTAAATTAGTTATAAGGTAGTTTTAGGTGTACATAGTTTAATTTATTTATTAGCATTGAATGTATTCGAGCCGTATTGTTTGTTGTTGTCTGATCGTGGTGTCATTTTGGAACTTAAAATTAAATGGGAGTGGCTATTGAGGTCTAATCTAACCGGTGTCTTGTGGTAAACTCACATACTTTGATTACTATACGAGGCAAGAGAGAGGTCCGACACGCCCAACATAGGGCGCGGCCATTTTGAACCCTGTGACACAGTTTACAGCTAAAGAATCAGATCGCTCACTCTGCGTCGGCACTTTGGATCTCAATGTTTCAGTTTATACACTGTGCAACTCGGATAATACAATATATGACATATAAAACAGCAGTCTTCTGCGTATCCTGAATTTGTATCCCTGGAGTGGATGTTATTTTGGAACTTTCAACTGGTCCGAGTGAGCTAACTGATTCTTTAGCAATAAACTTCAAAAATAATATTCACTGACACTGACAGCAGCAAGCAAAATATGCAGGTGCGTTTTAATCATCCGCTTCTGCTTCCGGAATTGTCGGTTTAGTCGTTTTAACCTGTCAGATTAAAACAAGAAAACTGACAATTCCGAAGCAGAAGCGGATGATTAAAACGCACCTATTAAAAATATTGCGCCAAGATGTAGGCAACACGTAATAAGGGTTCAAAATGGCGGAGTTTTCTATCTCCTTTTAAAAGGCACTCAGAAAGCTGCGCAGTGCGACCATTCTCCGTATAGTAAAAGAAAATCAAAGTATAGAGAAAGTAAAAGTTGGAAAGTCTTTTGGTAGGTAGAGAGGGGGTAAACGTCAAACCACGTCGGGCGGCTCCGAGAATTTCGCAGTAATGTTTACCTACCAGTGTCGTTTCATAGAATAAGTAATTTTAAATTGTTATCGGCGAAACCGGACAATCGCATGTATTTATGGATTATAAATACTTATTAAACATGTATTATAATATTCAAATCATAATTTTACAAAATTTCAACAGCTATTCACAATTTATTAAACTATTTACTCGAAATTGTTATTAACATCTATAAAATAATTTTGTACGCCAATGTATAGCCTCCACTTCGGTGAGATCCGCTGTCACCTGTCAATTTATGTGTATAAAGTGGGAGAACTGGCAAAAGCATTTCCAACTTTTACTTCTGTTCTATGTGGGTAAACTGTACTTTGGATAGACAACCAACAATACGCAAACTACATCTCCGTTTATGGCACAAACTACTATTTCAACAAGTAGAGAAGTGGAAATAGTGAGTTCGCGTCAGTTGTTGTTCATTTACATTTTCTTTTGATTTATTCTTATTCCAAGGAATTTTTTGACAAATTTTGAAAGTTTTATTTGAATAAAAACATATGTTCAATTTTTAAACAAATTTATTTTGATTTGGGGTTTAAATAAAAAAAAAAAAAGATAAAATATAAAATATAAAATATAAAATTTGATTATTATTGTGGAACCGACACCTCTGAAGAAAAGTCTCTTGCTCGTACATATCTGAATAAAAAAAGGTGAGTAGTTAAAGAGTATAATCTTGGTAAAATTCCAACATGATCATTTAACTAATTGCAATTTAGTCTAATAAAAAAAAATTGATAAAGTTTGATATTAGTAGATATGTATAAAGGCGCCCAACATAAATAAAATAACAAATAAAATAAATAATTACATCTAAGTACTAATACAAACTATATCAATATATTTTGCTATTTGAAAGATACAAGGCGGTGCGAGTGGGAGCGGAGAGGAGTGGAGTAGAGAGCGGAGCAGAGAGGAGAGCATATGGAGTGGAAAGGATTGGAATAGAGTAGAGTGAAATAGTGGAGTAGAATGGAGTATAGTTAAGTAGAGTTGAGTAGAGTAGATTAGAGTAGAGTGGAGTGGAGAAGAGTAGAGTGGAGTTGAGGGGGGTCTGTTAAACTGTGAAGAGTATAATATAGAAGGCAAAGCATTATTATTAGTATTTATTATTATTTTCATTGGCATATTCAAAAAAAGTATATAATTAAATTCAACCACTTCTCGGGTCTCGGGTAGTTTTCTTGCTTGTTAAAGCCTGTTCGTTTTCAAGAAAGTCGTGTTTTGAGTGAAGCAGTGTTTTGATGATTGTAAGTTCACTAATACAATCCATTTTTATATAGCCAAACTTCCTTCATTCATTAAAAAAACTGCCATGGCAATGGGTATATTGATTTTAAAACAAAAAAAATCATTATTATGGCAGATACATTATAGTGATATAATGAATTTGTAATGACAGTTTATATGTAAAAATTATAAAATCATTTTTTGGTGTTTTAAATGTTTTTAGCATCACATTCGTCAAATTCCTTTATCCTAAACGACTAAACAATTTGATTTTTATTGCAGAAGTAGAATTAGATAAGTCCCGAACGTGGTGTCCGCGCGCGGGCTGCGAAACCGTTTGCTCGCTGTGTCCCCAACACAAGTGTTCTCCACAGGGCGTCTACTGCCCGACGTGCACATCCGAATTTTGCAGTAACTGCAAGCAGGAGTGGCACGACGGCGTATCCTGCGACGATTTTGCCAAGCAACAGACGCGCGACGGCAAAGTAGAAGAGCCCGGCATACCCTTCGATTCGGATCTCATCAAGTGCTGCCCAATGTGTAACGTTCCTATTGAGAAAGACGAAGGCTGTGCGCAGATGATGTGCAAACGGTGCAAACACGTGTTCTGCTGGTATTGCCTCGCTAGTCTTGATGTAAGTATAGTTATTGTTTGCATGTCATTTCTTATTTCAGCGTTCAATCACTAAAGTAAAAAAGGTGATTCACAAAAAATGTTTTTAAAGTAGGCCATGACCGACAAAGACAGCTATATGAATTATGTCTGTGATGACTACGCACCGCTCTGATTTAAATCCAAACTGACACTTAAAAAATAAGAAGAATTGTTCTCTCGACATTTGTGAATTTTTTAAAAGTTTATTTTAGAAACATTTTTTGTGGATATCTTTTAATTTTATCCATAATTAGACTTTAAATTGTGCACGATTGCTAAAAAACAAAAGTACGTGTTATTAGTAAGGTTATTAGTCAGTCGCGTGTTTTATTGTTTACCAGTTTTTAGAGATATTTTCAGAATGGTTTAGTTGAAAAATGGCAAAAAGTAATGTTTATTAAGAATGTATGAATATTAAATGTATTTTTATTACACACCTTTTTAGTTTTAAACACTACAAATTATTAACTTGCCGTGATTTATAATAGCAATCAAACTAATGAAAAAGTTAGGTTAACAAACATTCTGTTAAAACAGAACGTTCCGTTAGAGTCAGGAAAAGCTCTAGTGCTGCTCGCGAGTAACCCAGATGCATAGAAGGAAGCACTCATTATTGTTCTTTTGTAAATAATAAATATAATTTGTTAAGATGTTAAAATCTTCGTTGGTTCTAATGATTTTGGCATACTTTAATTGTGGTACATACCTTGAATTATTGGGTCGCTTGAAATGATAGTTCTTTCACTAGGAAGTAACTTGGGATAGTTCTTGATTTTTCACCCTATCTGCTGTCACTAAGATTTCTTCGGGTCTATTGTGGTGACACATACACTTTACATATTTTAGCAGTAGTTTTTGTAACTATTCATTTTGTACAGACCTTCTAAAGTGTAAATATATTTATGGCGCTCGAAATAAGAATTCTGCTCCAAGTAAGTTACTAGGGGTAGTTCTTGATTTTCCAGCCCAGTGCTGTCACTTGAAATTTTTCGGGTTCCACTAACTTTTTGACTTGTCATTGAGTTTCAAAAAAAAATCTATGGTGCCTGTGAGCTTTGTGATACATGAATCTTTCCATTATTTTCCAATACTTAAACCACTCGAATCTCCATCAGCCGAGTGAGTTTGACTTTTGTTTTCAATATACAATTTTCCCCACGTTGGGCAACAATTGCATCTTTTAGAATTATCGTGTTAACGTTGGGACGTCAATTGTTACCTCAAAATTAAATTAAAAAAAGTTAACTACAACAATTTACGATGTCCAAAGTTAATGCACAAGTTTTGACTATCTGATAAATAGGCTTTGATAGCCGGTTTCGCTAGTAGAAAAGGCATGGTCCATTTAGTACTAAATTTACAGTATTCAAAACAATTTATTCATGGGTGCCAGTTCGATTTGAGTATGCCTAATAACTACGTTTTTTGTCCTTAACATGGCCACAGTGAAGTCTTATAAAATAAAATATAAAAATGTAATGTTGATATTTTGTTTCACTCTGTGACGTACGTCTTGATACCAACGCTTATGACCCCATTACTTTGATTTTGATTTAAATATACAGTAGGTGGATTATCCTATTACATTTGTGTTAATCTTGTTTTGATTTCTGTCTTAGGGACATTTCATACTGTTTACTACGTTTGTTGATATATACTAAGTGACATAGAAAACAGAACACACAGTATTAATGAATTTATTACAAAGAATTTCTAGGAATATGTTTGTTTAAGTTAGAATAAAAAACGATCAGTTTTTCAGCCATATCGATAGAGTGGTTTTTGTGTTATCATCCTGTTCTCACAAAAAAGTAAGACGCGATAATTGTGTTTTGTAGCTACAATTCGCATTTGATCGTCATACAATACTTTGTGAAGAGCTTTTTTGATTTGTTTATCATGCCTAGAGTGAGAAGACGAGAACATTTTCTATAGCTTAGCGAGTTTGATAGGGGGCGAATAGTGGGCTTACGCGAGGCTGTTTTGTCCTTCAGAGAAATAGCCACGAGGATGCACAGAAGTGTAAATACGGTGGTGGTTTGTTGTCGGGTATGGAATCAAGAAGGCCGTACACGAAGAGCTAGAGGTACAGGACGTGTCAGAAGAACGGCCCCACTCCAAGATCGCCGCCTTAGGCTTTTAGCTCTACGGGACCGCTTCACGTCCACAAGGTCAATTGCTGACCAATGGTTTGCAGAACATGGCAGGTCAATAACAATGCGAACTGTTTATCGCCGTATCAGAAGTTTCGGACTTACGTCATACCGTCCTCAGTTTGCCCTACCTCTCACTCCTAGGCACCGAAGTGATCGACTGGCTTGGTGCAGAGAACGGCTAAACTGGGACCATGAATGGAATACCATTGTCTTTAGTGATGAATCCAGATTCTGTTTGGGCATGCATGATGGACGTGCAAGGGTGAGAAGGCGGCGTGGTGAAAGACGAGATCCTCAATTTTTCGTGGAAAGGCATGTGCACCACACTGTCGGTATTATGGTATGGGGGGCCATTACTTATGGAAGTAGGTCACCTTTGGTATTCATCAGAGGCAACATGACCGCCGTGCGTTACATCCAGGAGGTGGTGGAACCACATGTTCTGCCTTATATTCGGACGCTCCCCAACCCACTTTTCCAACAAGATAATGCACGACCACATGTAGCCAGAATTACGTTGGCCCATTTTGAAGAAAATCAAGTCGATTTGTTGCCTTGGCCCCCTAGATCTACCGATCTTTCACCCATAGAACACGTCTGGGACATTATGGGAAGAAGATTACTCCATTTACCCCATCCTCCTCAGACTCTAGCGGCACTTCAGCATGAGGTACAAGTTGCCTGGGATGAGATACCTCAAGAGGAAATCGACCATCTTATTAGGAGTATGCCCCGACGTGTTTCTGAGTGCATAAGACATCGTGGAGGACCAACACACTATTAATTTTTTACTTTTTTCCAACGGTTGGATTTTTCTTACATTTTGATCAATTACTTAACTAACCCAAAGACACATGTATACTAAAAATTATTGTAATAAATTCATTAATACTGGGTGTTCTGTTTTCTATGTCACTTTATAATTAGCATTATAACGACATTTAATCTTTATATTTTGTTCTTTTAGTAAGATTTGATCGCTGTGATTGTTTGTGTTGAAACCTGGGGTTCCAAGTATTTGTTCTATTTAAGTTAGGACAAGAAACGTAGTTATTTCGTTATATTCGAATTGAACTGGCGCCCATAAATATTTTGATGTGAATACTGTAAACTTGGTACTAAACGGACCAATCGTTCTCCATTCCGAGCGATACCGTCTGTCAAAGGCTGTTATGTGACAATGGAAACTTGTGCTTTACCTTTGGACATTCGTAGTTACCTTTTCTTATTTAATTTTGAAGTAACATTTGACGGCCGCCCAACGTTAACACGTCAATTCTAAACGTTAAACCAAATTCCTTTTACTAACCCAATAACTTTGTTATTTACGCCTTTCAGAGGCTTTTAGATGAATGCGAATAAGCTCGACCTGGCAAATCAACAGAATATAAATTGTCTTCTACATTGGGCCAACAGTCGAAACATTTAATATTTCATTCAGCAATGTATGCAAATGTTTTAAAATGTACTGTTTTGTCCTGTCGTATTTTAGTGTTAAAGAGTAAACCTTTCCAGTGCTTAGGTTATTGTTATTTTTTTATAATCCCTCTTCAATTTTTGCGACTTTTTTTGATGAATTTTCTTATAGATAAAATTTGTATTACATTTATTTTCTTAAACTTTTTTTTTTCGAGATTGTTTTGTGTGATTTCTTGGGATGTTTTCAAATTAAAACGTCAAAATGTTGTTTTTAAATCATAGCTTTCAGCCTTAATTAGACGGCCTTCTTCAGTTAATTTTTTATTAGTTCATTGTTTTTTTTTTGTTTTTAAATTTACATTTTTATTATTAATTCTTTTTTATAAGAATTTATAATAAATTCTTATTAAAAAATACTTAATAATAACAAAATAATTTATAATAAATTCTTATAAAAAAATATGCTTAACAAAAAAAAAAAACAATGGACTAATAAAAAAACCACTAAAAATGGTCGTCCAATTGAGGTAGAAAGCTCTCGAGATTGCTCTGCGGTAACGCATCTGTCTCGCATTCGGAAGGTAGTGGGTTTGAGCATCATTGCCGCCTGGCCTTCTGATTTTTTCAGAGGTTTTCTTATAGCAGTAGGCCCGCTCCCAACTGAGAAAATGAAATACACATCATTTTTTAACAGACTTCATAAAAGAAGGAAGTTCTCATTTTTTATGTATGTTCATTGATAATTCTTTGCAGCGTTGTCCGATTTCTATGATTTTCTGTACCACCGGGGTGCTCCTATATAAATTTGGTCAAGTTCTGATGATGGAATCCATGAGAAAATCATCAAACTCTTCATTTTGAAGTCGGTTTTTAAAATTCTTTTATAACTTGATACCTCAAGAAATCGCCCAAATGTTTCTCAACAATTGTTGACACAAAGTAAATGTTTTTTTATAGGATGACTTTTTACTTCGACATTACGACAAGGGACCTTGCAAAAACAAACTCGGACACTCCAGGGCGTCCGTCATCTGGCACCGGACCCAAGTTATTGGTATATTCGCCGGATTCGGAATCCTTCTCCTGGTTGCATCGCCTCTCCTACTTCTGGCAGCGCCCTGTATAGTGTGCTGCAAGTGTCGCGTCTGCAATACGGGGACCATCAAACTCGACAACGAAGAGGAAGAAGCGGCCGTCGAATCCCATGAGGAAGTGACCCCTCCAGGAGGTTTATGATGTGCGTGATTTTGCCGAAACATGTGCGGTGAGATATAGAGTAGTAGAGAGATTTTTTTATATAAAAGATTTCATGTTAACATTATCAGGGTTACAGGACTAAACATTAAGGTATAAGTTCCTGTAGATTTTTATTTAACAGTAATCGGTCCTTCAAGACTTTTTGGTGATATAGTTTCCAAACTTTATTTAAATGAGGGCTGACAGATTGGAACGCACTTAATATTAAATTGACGTCTGTGATCTTATGGCGAATTGCGTCAAGGATCTTTAAAACTGTAAATGCGGCTTTGCAGACAGGTCTATATCACCCTCTAATAAGTCAGCTACATATCACCGGTGGCATTATAATACCTTGTAAGCCTCACTATTGCTAAAATTAGATTTTTCATCAAATTGTTGCAATTATCTAGACACATCGTTACAGAAAATTTCGTATTCCACAAAAATGTTAAAAAATTAAATATATTAAACTTTTATAATATCTCGTATACGAACTTTGTATTCGCAGCGGTTTTTGGCTACTACTGTAAAATGTGATTTTCTTCTTCTTTTAGTTTTTTGGTCTCCACCCTTTAGGTATTTAGCCAGCGCAGCTTATTTACCTCAAATTACAGGAATATTCATTGAAAAACGCCTGGAATTTTCCATTTTCCCATTGAAAAAAAATCCATATTCATTCTTTTCTATTGAAAATGTGATTTTTTTTGTTCTTACTAGTTATTAGAATGACATCACCGATATATTTTAAAATTTAAAAAAGTATATTACCAAAAATTGGCAAATTTGATCATACTCTAAGAGTTAGTCTATAATTTTGAAGGCCAACATCTGATAATAAAAATTTGCAGAACCTGTTGAGTATTTTTTTCATTCATAATAGACGTATTCCAATATTTTTGGAACCGACTGTACTGATTCTGTGGCGGTGCCGCTATATATTTTTGGTTTTTCATTCAATTAGAAACAAATTCTTGAAAAAACAAGATTAGTGCTTTAAAATCGTTTATTGCATTCCTTTCACATTAATTTATTGAGAAAACACGTCTTCAAAGGTTAAAATAAACTTCTAACACTAGTGCAACTTTATTAAAATGCAATAACTTGATTTTTCAGCTAATAATGATTTCCATTTGGTTTATAGCTTTTGTAACCTTATTTTTACTGTTGTGAAGTAAAAAGGCCTTTATTTTAAAAAGTGTGGCCTATCGCGTTTTTACAATAAGCCCTTCAATTTCAATATTATCGCCTTCATATTATACTTCCCTACACAATATCTACCCACAGTAATTTTCCATTTGCCATAGTAGTTCTGTTTATCATTTGTTCAAAGCATGTTCATGGTGTCTGCCGATTTTTCTTTGACCTTGGATAACAAACAAGATATATATAAATTGGATCTATGTATTTAAATTTCCCGGTTTCTTCTTTTTTAAGCAAACATTTAAAATGGTTGGCTGCATTTAAGGAAAAACGCTCAGTCAATTCTTAGCGAACACAAAAATCTCTCTGTTTGGTAATAAAAAATCACATGAGGCGAGATCACGTGTTTAGGGCAGATGTTCTAATATTGGAATCTAAATACTTGGTCGAGAACCTTTTGACAGACAAGTGCAGTGTGGGCTGCAGCATTAACCTATAAAAGAAACCATGATTTTGTTTTGTTAAAATCGACCTAAAACTTTCTTTTTCGATTACTATGGATTCAACAACAGCCCAAATACTTAATCAATGATTTTTTGGATGAACTCACCGATCTTTTCGAAAAGTCTGCAATCACTTCTCGTCCCTTGTTGATAACTAAAAACCTGAGTGTGATAAACACTCTTCTCCACATCCTTATTTCAATAAAGTATACGTTTCTAAGGCGGCTTTTATGAGTTTTGTAAGGAATTTTACATTGACGCGTTGCTGTTCTTGAACACATAAACTATTTCCGGAAAAACGATCAGTTCCGTTTTTTCTAGCCACACCTCCTATTAAAAAACACCCATAAAAAAATTCTATAAAGTTTTTAATTTGTTTCAATTTTACAGTAAAAAGTTCAAAATTTAGTTGTGACAGGTGAAAAATGTGTTTTAATTATTTGATTTTTTAAAATATATTTTGGTCACAAAAAATAATTTGTTTAAAAAGAGAGTGAAACCAACAAATTTGTAGTGACATCGGCGCAGTAGTTGTTGGGAAATGTAAACATTGCGTTAATTTTTAAATGTACCATTATCATATTTGATAACCGAATTGGTTATATTTAAAAATTAAAGCTATTTTTAGAAATTATGCACAAAAATTAAAATATATTCAGATTTAAGTCTCTAACTGATAATTTAATATTTAGTTGATATAAAAATATGAGAAATAGATTTAAAGAGCTTTTTTAAAAAAAATGTGATTGACTAGATATTTTTAAAATGCTACTCTATATCTCGATAATGCACAAGAACTTGTTGATTAGTATTTTCTTTTTGTACCGTTGTGACTCGACTCGGGTGGTTATTTTTATGGATTGATTTATTGGTTAGTCGCAGAGAAACTTAGAAAAAATGACATACATTTCAATAAATACACCAATTTAAACTTTAGTCGTAGATAAAAAATATATTATTAATATTCTGATAAACACTAGCAGTTTTGTAATAATTACTTAAAATTTATCATTTTAAATTTAAACGATGGGATAGAAAAAATAAAATACTTATTATTACCTGTATTTGTGAAAACAAACTGTGATAACATTACGTAAAACTGTATTGTATAGTCATTTTGTTAAAGAAACTGAAATTTCACCATGTGAAATGCATCGTTACATGTTTTTGTGATTTATATTTGGATGGTAAAATAAATTGTTATTGTACATGTTTTTGTTTTGTTTTCAGCATACAAATTGATTCTAATAGTTAAGGAAACAAGTTATTTGCCAAGAAGCCGTTAATTACTCTTTTGAAGTTTGCTTATACTCTTTTAACAAAAACAATTGTATTTTTATGTTGACAGTGTTACGCTATTGATTTTTGACAATAGGGTATTTTTTTTAGATTAAATTAAAATTTTGCAAATACTGTCATAAATAAAAAATCTATTATCAAATAATTCAAAGAATTACACAAATTGCAGCAATATTCTGTAAATGTAATAGTGTGGGAAAATCGGCATTTGACATTTTTTTTTGGACTTTAGTAGGGTGCTTTTAATGTAGGTGCTGATATGGAAACCTCAAAAGTCTACCTCAGTTTCGTAAAATGTTTCATAAGAACTACATTTATGAATTATTTTTCTTCTTTCTTCTCTTCTGTGTAGACTGTTCTCCTTTGTACTGGCTACTGTGCTGGTTTCTGTACTCCTTCTGCCCTTTGCTGTCTGATCGTGTCAACTGTCTCCCCTTTCTGATTTACCCTGCTCCCTCTGGATTTCTGCATGTCTATTTATTTGTATCTTGGTGGTAAATAAAATGTTCGTACCTTTTTATTTCTGTATTTTATCTTCCAAATAACATCACAAACAATACCAATCTAACATAACTTCAATCCAAACTTAAAATCTTATAAACAACATTTTCCTTATAATCCCATCTGACAGTTCAAAAATCAATAAGTTCATGTTCCAATAACAACTCTAAATTGATTTTTTTCTCATTTAATACTTCAATTCTTGCACCACCCCAATATTCCTGAAGATAAAATTTTAACAACCAAAAATATTTCTGACGTAATCAATTTACGCCCCAGAAATTTCCAAATCCGTGCGTTATTTTAAGTATGTTCATTGTCATGGATTTTGCACTTTCTTCTTTACCAGGACTGATTGTTTTAACCTATATTAGTGGTGATTTATATATTAGTGGTGATTTACCTCTCCCTAATCATTTGTTATTTCATATCCACTACTGCACAGATCTTTTCCATCAGGCGTGGTCAAGTCTTGTCCATTCATCCTTGTTCTGAACTTTCCTTGGTCTGTCCAGTCTTACTTCTTTCCTCAAACTGTAACTCTACCACTTTTTTACTGACATGTTCTCTTCTTTTCTGAATTTGGGTATAACCACCTAAGCCTATAAGCATCCCTCACCTGCGGGCGCAACTCCTATAAACTGCCCCTAATACACAAAAACTAACTTTGAAGTATTATTCTGAAGAATACTAGTTTTTATTTATTTAACATTATATTTCTAAGACAATAATGAGCACGCTACACCCTAAGTATACATTTTTATCAAAACCCCTGATGTTTCAACCAGAGGTAAGATCATTATAATTTAATGGATAGCAATTGCGAGCGATGATGTGCTACTAAGCCGCAATTGCCAGGCATTAGCTGGAATATTTCTCCACTAATCACCGATCCAAATATTAGAAAAATTATAAGTTCTTGTTACACCTCCAGTAGTTTGGCTCTTTGGCAAACAATTTGAAAATATTTCAACCCAGTAAATCCAAAAATTAACGACACATCTTTATTTAAAGTGCATTTAAGTTTCTCGCCGTCAAACCTTCTTTGGTCTAGTCTTGATTAAATGCAAAAAACTTTCTACATTATAAATATATGATAACAAAATAGGCCTGCGTTACGTTACATCACTAATAAGGAGTTTTTTTTTTTGTTAATTATTTTGTGAGTTTTAACATGGACGGAAATCTGTGATAGAACTGTGATTTATAATAACCGTCTGTGGCTTAAACTCGTTTATTGTGCATATTTATTTATAAAATTATCTAATAATTATTTTTGTTAAGTATATGGACAGCTGAAAATTTATTTAATCATTTAATTCAGTTTTTGGTCGGCGCTTATTGCAAAACTTGAAAGTATATATATTGTTTTAATTACCCGTCACCTAATCTTCTTAAATCTCAGATAACTAGGCATGTAACTCATTTTAATTAACAACCTCTAAATTTCTGAAAATAAGTTTTTTTTTAATGTTTTGTGTATTAAAAACAATCATTATACATGGCACTGATATTTTTTCACCCTTTCTAGGATTTCCTAACGTTACACCAAAACAGTGACATCTCGGAATGTTCTGTCCTAATCAAATCATAATTTTATTGAGTTACATGCGTTAAAAGGTTTATTTCTAGAATAATGGGATAGTTAATTTTGTAGTGATTATGTAACTTTTAGCTCGGCATGTAAAGCAACATTGCAAGAAGTGCCTTTTAGATATCGGGTGCTTTACAAAAACCGTGAATTGTTTTCTGAATAACTGCTGTCCAAATACTAGCCCAAACAATGAAGCGTTTAGGTCAAGGGTTGGTTACCTGTAAAATATTAGAATAAAGCTACAAATTTGTATGTTGGTCCAATTCGATTTCAATCGCTCCCGGGCTATCTAGTTTGAATTTCTTTAGCGGTGTTTTAAAAAAAATCGATTTTTTTTTATAACGCTGCGTAAGCAGTTAGGCTGAAATAAAATATTCTTATTCCGTCTTTATCTTGAGGATATTTGTGACAAAAAAACCCGCGAGAGTACTACCCTAGTATTTCTGATTTATTGTCGGAAATTATTTTTTTTTCTAATGATCAAAGGTCATGAACGATTACTAGCAGGAAGGCATATTATAATTAATAATAAATATTTCTTTCACAACAGTTGCCAAGCAATCGAAGCATTAAGTGAGTGACCTCATAGAGATTTTTGGTTAAGAATATTGCTGATGCCATTTTTAGTCCAAAGACTCCAATTGATTGTCCAGGAAGCATTTTTTCTAATCGGTTTTCGAGAAAAATTATAAATGTAACAAAATAGGGGAAACTTTGATTAAATTACAAATAACGGCTGACTTCGAGCGCTCGCCATTCACTATTATAAAGTGTATTTATTATGGTATAATTCAAAACGACCATCCGTTCGACCCATAGCGCTCTCGAAATATAAGCAGTGCAAAACATGGGGGCGTGGCCTTTAACGACAATACACACTTCTCTTCAGGAGGCTCTAGAAGGTAAACTATAAATACCAAGGTAATACTCTCACGGGTTTTTTTTTTTCGTCACAAATATCCTCTAGATCAGCGGTCTCCAAACTACGGCCCGACTAGTCTAGAAATAATAGATAACTGCAGGAACATTAAAACGGTGGAACTTACTAAAGTAATCAGTATGAGCTTAAGGCTGGAAAGTTTGGAGAGCCCTGCTTTATATGAAGACTAGACAATAATTTTTATTTCAGACTACCCGTATGCACAGTGTTCTCAAAAAAATCGATTTTTTTAAAACACCCCTAAAAAATGCAATCCGGATAGATATCCCGGGAACAATTGAAAGGGGATCATTAGGACCTTGAATCAACATACCAATTTTTAGCTTTGTTCTAATTTTTTACAAGTAAATCTACTCTTATTTCCTGGCCTATAATAATAAGTCGGCCTAAAATGTTTAGTATTTATTTTAATTTTTTTTTGTGGTATCTGAGCTTACAGTAGTATGACTATATTTTACTAGAAAAAAATGTAAACATAGATTTATAAATCGCAAAGAGATAAATCTGGAGAATACAAAGTACAAAATAGCATTTTCGTTTATTTTTACATTCTGAATTGTTTTTAATTTCATATTTGTTGTTTCTGTGATGTGAATTTTATATATATATTTTTTTGTACATTGTAGTGATGTAAATTTACATTGTCCCAAAAAAAATAATGTTTACCATACAAGATTACGCTACTGTTCTGAATCCGCTTTTTTTATAAATAAACATTGCAATAATTTTCGACTGACTATTAAATATTTAATCACGATTGCACACGCATATCTGATAACATTTTTGGGACAATTGGTTACTTTCCGAAGCAATATCTTGCAAACGATTAAAACTTCCGCTAATATACAAAAAAAGATGCTAAACATAGTGTAAACTTGAATAAATTTAAATAAGTCCACATTTTTCCAAGAGAATGACGTCAATTCATACTAATACATTTTTTGTAAATTGTTTTAAAAATCTAACCTGTTATAGACAATATTATAGCAGATAAAATATTTTCACATAAAAAAATGCTTTAAGCTTGGAATGTTTGGATATTTTATATATAGTTGGAATTGAAAAAAATGTCCTATTTACTTTTAAATGAAAGTTTTGTCAGGAACTTTTGGATTTATCAACAGGAACAATGTTACATTTGTTACAGGGTGATTTTTATCGTGTTTTGGCAGGCTTTTCCTTCGCCCTCTTTTTTGTAATAATTTCACCACTTCAAAATACTAAAAGAAAAATATACATTTTTTTTATTTTCATAGTATAATTCGTAAACGGATTAAGGATTTGTTATCCCTTTAATTTCACAACTTTTCGCCATTTAATCACACCTCTATTTTTAAAGGGCTTCCAGTATAGCGATGTTAAATCACGATAAAATGCCATTTTTTTTTAATATACGTTTAGTTGTTCTAGACTGACTGATACCGTTTTATTTAAATAGATGAAAATTTCATTTAAATTCACAGATTGTTGACAAAACACTTTTCAGACTGTTGTTTTTATACCATGAAATACAAGGTCATGAAATTTCAAAATACTGTTAGTGTGTAAAAAGTCTTCAAAAAAAATATTACAATTTAAAAACTGAAATAGAATTGTTTCTATGCAGACATGGTTTTAATACGACAGGCTTATTATTTATTTTATTGCATTGCTCCACTTCTAAAGCTTTGGATTCCTTAATTTGCTTTCAGTATTGACAGTTTTTTCAGATAATTTTTTTTTGTCAATATAGCCAGAAGTGTCTTTGAAAACGTTTTACACTAAAAAAGAGCAATTTAAAATACGCATTAAGGTTGATAAATTGAAAAACCTTGTATTGTAAATATATGAAATGTTGATGTTACTCCATGGTTAACAGTTGTAAAAGGTTTTCCGAATTTCGTAAATCTTTGTAATCAATATTACTACTTATTGTTTAATATTAAATGCATATGTATATATTGTTAAAAATTATTGTTAGATTAAAACTAGGTACTATGTACTTATTTATGATATATTAAAAGAATAAAATATTGGTACTAAACTCATCTGTCGTTTTATTTGTGACACGTGAAAATTTCGTAGATATTACAGATATTCCAAGTTCCGGGGAATATTCCCCATCAGTTGTGGGAAACATTTCCCTATTAGTCTTTTCATGTAGATAGAAGCCCTCGAAACAAAAAGACCAACAATGATTAGGAAAAATTATTTATGAAGCTTTTAAATATGTAACAATATAATCCACTATTTCACTTACGAAATTAAGTAATGTTTATCTAAAGTGAAAACAAACCAAAGAAACACTGAAAAAAATAAAAATGAATGCACCGGTCAGGGATCGAACCTGGAACCTCTGAGTTGAGCTCTCGCCGCCTCACCAATTGGACCACGAAGACATTTAGCTGCTACAGTCGAATTTGTAGATTAAGTGATCTGATTCGGACTCTCGCCGGCACACACGCATTCTCCCCACCCCAGCTCTCTCAATTATCATTAAAGCCACCTTGCAACATCGTATAGAAGGACGCCAAGTTAAGCTTGTACTAGAATAAATTCTAATAGTATTTGTCAATTTATGTGGTCAAGATATTGAGATAGAATAAAGAGGAGATGCTATGTCGATGCTTGTGTCCGCACCTTTGCATTACACTTTTACGTCATAGTTTTGGTGACAGTAAATTAATTTTTTTTTAAATACCTTTATTTAAATTATATAAAATCATTTTAATTAAGTCAGTCTTCAAATAAATCAAAGTCCACTTTCATTACAAATTTCGGTCACTCTGTCCTATCGCAAAATAGTGTTTTGTCTTCTCTACTTTATTCTATCTCCAATATAAGTCAGAGATCATATTCAGTTTACTTTATTTCCTACCTTTTTTCATTAGTTTTCGGTTCTTTAACAGGCATTATTTTCCTTTACTATGCATATTATTAAATCCACCAATCACAGCTCATATTTTGGACCCGGCTACTATTATTTTTTAAATTTTATATGTGACAATTCTGTTAAACTAATTATCAGTATATTTTATAGTTATTGAGATTAAATATACGTAAAAATGAGTTATTCTTGTGTAGAATCGATAATAGCATTTCTTTTTATTTTGTTCACATTTACAAATAAATCTAAAATTTTAATGAAACTACCTATATAAAACTAATTTAATTACAAGTATTAAAACTAAAATCGTGTGTCGGTGGAGGTGAGGTGAGGTGAGGTGTGTCTTCCACACGAGAGGTCCGGGTTCAAATCTGAGCTGGAGACTAATTAAATTAAATTTTTGTTTTCATTTTTATTTTATAAATTAGTCATAAATTATTTTAAAATTAGTTATTTTGTCTTAAAAACCAAGAATATTTTTTTAAATTTGTAGATTTTCGTTAGTAAGTCGTAGAAAAAAATATACTGTACAACTCGAGTGGATTGTCCATATCCACTCTTGTTGCACAAACTATTAAACTCGTTCGACTTTGTCTTTCGCATCGTTATTATACCATCTCGCAAACAAATGCATATAGCGAATGTGGTTTGTGGATAAGGCGTTGCCTTTTCAAAACAAGTCGTGTGGATTCAGGTCTCGGTGTAACCATTTTTTGTTTCATTTATTTTATTATACATATCGTTTAATTTTATTATAATAATATAAGATGGATCGAAAATGGTAACGAGTTATTTATTAATGTAGATTTTATATTTAAAAGGGAAGTAATAATATAATTATTTTTTTCTACACACACACACATGGATATTGACTTATCTACGCACAGACTACAAAACGAAAAAGTATACTATTCCGTTCAACTGAACGAATATATTTCATATCCATTCTAGGTAGTGAGAACACTGAAAAAAAAAATAAAATCCACCAATCACAGTTCATATTTTGGACACCCAACTAATATTATTTCTTATTTTTTTATTTTAAGAATATGTAAAAAATGGAGTTTCCATTTGAAATAAAAGAAGTCCACCTCCAAACGGCCATATAATGGTCAGCTATAAAAAAATTAATTTTTCCAAAATGTTTCTCCCAACAACAAAACTTTTATTTGAAACTTTTTTTATAAAGTGCATATTATTTTCGGAGGTATTTAACTGCAGGGTGAGATAATAACAATAAGATTAACCATTAAATGGGGTAAAAATTCCCATCCACCTAATGATTTCCATAATTAGTTTAGTTTGGTTTAGTTTCAGTAAACATTTCCTTATTTTATTTTTTTTTCGACACATTGCTTATAAAAAGTAACAATAAAAATACGTAATTGTATTTGCAATTGAAAAAGCTTTAAAATAAACAAATAATCGAACTACCCTTCTATTAAAAAAAAAGTTGGGCTTTGCTACAACTTCCCAGCTGATTAAAAAGAAAACAAACCTATTTGTAATATGCTCCATTGAAAATAAAAATTGACGTCTTAGGAATTTTGCGACAAACCTTTATTTATTAATTTAGAGAAGTTGTTCCAGATAAAAATCCCACTCTGTAATTATATTATCATTATTTATACATATGTATAAATACATGTTTGAATCCTGCTTATGTTTGTAGATTTATTTGATTACTATATTAGCGTCAAAGTAGCTTGGCGAAGAAACGCCCGGCGATGAACCGGCCTGGCGTAGAACCGGCCTGGCGAAGAACCGGCTGGCGTAGAAACGGCGGAGTAGAAACCCCGGCGATGAAACGTCCTAGACCCGGTATTAGAGGTGTGCTGTTAAACTTATTAAAAACTTATTATAATATACATGGGATCAGATCACATGACACCCCTCCTAACCTTCAATAGACTCTTCCAGGTCAACTGCAACTGGAACGAGGTAAATAAAGAGGTAGATAAATCCTTGCTTAGCAGTATATAGCAGGGGCAAAAGTTGGAAAGGCTTTTGCCAGTTCTCCCACTTTAGACACATAAATTGACAGGTTTGCGGCGAATCTAACCGAAGTGGACGCGATACATTGGCGTACAAAATTATTTGATTGATGTTAAACAATTTCGAGTATATAGTTTAATAAATTGTGAATAGTTGTTGACATTTTGTAGAATTATGATTTGGATATTATAATACATGTTTGTTTACTAAGGGTGAGATTACAGAACGTCTGCAACTTTGCAAATATGGCGGACTTAACAAATGTAAGTATTCCAGAAAATATCTGCAAATTCGCAATATTTATTGTGGTTTATTACCCCCAACAACACTAAACCCAAATTTGGAATAAGAAAACTTGGTACTTGCATGTGTAAGTCAGTCATATTTGCAGATTTTCAAAATTGCCGCCATATTTGCAAAGTTGCAGACGTTCTGTAATCTCACCCTAATTATCTATAGTCCATAAATACATGCGATTGTCCGGTTCCGCCGGTAACAATTTAAAATTACTTATACTATGAAACGACACTGGCAGGTAAACATTACTGCGAAATTCTCGAAGCCGTCCAACGTAGTTTGACGTTTACCCCCTCTCTAACTACCAAAAGCCTTTCCAACTTCTACCCCTGCTATATACGGATGGACATCATCATCTCACTGGGAAAACATATCACTGTATTTCAGGCTGAAATACATGCAATCGAATTGTGTGTACGAGAGAATTTAAGAAGTATAAAAAACAAACCATTATAAATCTCTGATAGCCAAACAGAATCAAAACAAAGCTTGTCTGGAACTGCCTTGGAATACATGATCTGGCAACCCTCAACAAGGTAAAACTAGCTAGGGTTCCAGGGCACAAAGGTATCCAAGGAAATTAAAAGGCTGATGAATTCGCCAAAAAAGGATCAGAACTACCATTCACAGAACCCGAACCTGTATTTGGGATAAACAAAATCTCTGCTCGACAGGCAGTGAACAGATGAATAACCACAAAACACCAAATTAACTGGCAAGAGATAAGAGAGAACATAATCAGTAAGGGCATGCTAAGAGGACCAAACCCACGCATGGCTACTGAGGCACTACAACTCGCAAGGCCTCAGACCATTGTGGGATTACTCATGGGGCATTGCTTGCTGAAACACCTTCATGTGATGAGATTACACAATGATTCCACTACGTGTAGGCTCACTCTGCATGGAAGATGAAGAAACCTCATACCATGTGATCTTCGAATGCAAAGCTGTTACTAGGCGACGTTTCGTCCTTTTCGGCCTAGAAACGGAAAGAACGCACCAGGAACATTTGGTAGGGAACTTATTAAAACTAACCAAAGACACAGGACTATTCCAAAGATAGTACCTGAATACGGGGAAAGCAGGGGAATACAATAGACCCAAGAGGTGGCAGTGTTCTGGGCCAAACCTACCCCTACCTGCTTATAACAGACAAAGATTATAATAATATTGACATTTATATTTTATTCTAGTTTGTCTTAGTTTTATATTCACGTTTGTCTTATGTTCATAATGTGTCTTGTATTCACATTTGTCAATAAATTGTAAAAGAAAAAAATACCAATGTTGTTAACGTGTTAAGTTAAATCTGTGCTATGCTGAAACCTTTTCTCCAAAATTTCAGTTTTTTTTTAACCTAAAAAAATTTAAAATTGTCAAAATAATCAAATTTTGGAAAAGTGGCTCCAGAGGAACACGACAGATTTAACCTACACGTACATATTATTCGCCAGAAGCTTGCTTAGCTATAGGTAATTATTTCATAGAGCTGCGTACAGATCACGCCAACGAACGGCATTCGCCCTTGGTTCCTAAACATTCGTTGGCCGTCGTTAATATACAAACGTTCGTTGGAGCACGTATCCGGATTAAATGTTCATTATGATATGATACTCGTATGGACATCCGTCCACATTTCATTCACTCGAATCGCCCATTTCTTTGATATTACCGCTACGATCCCGCTCAGAGATATAACCATTCATTGATAAAATATAATATTTACGGTGCCAAGCTTAATTCGACAATCATAACGCTCTATTTGTAGGGACGCGGCGAGGAGACGAAAGGGAGAAGTAAGAGAGGGGATATTTGTTAGTAATCTCTGATCCCGCTAGTCAGCATACGCCAGCGAACCTTCGTTGGTATTCGCTAAACTGTATATGCCGCACCAACAAAATCGAGTAAAAATAGCATCCAAGATGGAAGACTATGTCGCAACCCCCTTAGCCCTGCTCACTAGCAGCTATTGTTCAAAAGGTCGTAACTAAATTCTTTTAAAGCCATTTAAGCAGTGTGATCTATTTCACGAAACAATGACGTAATTAATATATTTTTAAATAAAACAAATCATGTTTATATTAAAAAAAGTTAGTCCCTTTAAATACAAATTCTTATCCTAATTAATAATAATTCTAATTTTTCTCCAACAGTTAGGAAAATCAAAAATACGATGTAATCACAAATACATACAGAAAGCAAAGTGATTTGTCAATGTTGCCATTATCTTAATTACAGGTACCCTTGAATAGGTACAGATTTCATCTTCTGTTTGGCTTTAAATGATCAAAACTATATTCCGAATAGAATGTTTGAAATCCGCGATGGAAATAAGTCGACTGGCTTGTTCTTCAATTTATGAAGGAAAGCATGAACTAAAATCAACGGTAAAGAACATATTACATATTACCGCGTATATTATTTGAAATTTTTCTGAATTTTCTTCGTTATTACATCGAATTGAGTTTAACGTAATTGTAATTGGTTTTTAGTAGACTAAATATTTCCTTGTCCCCGTAAAAAATAATCCTTTATTTTTTACAATTGTTTAAACTTTTATTTTTATTGTTTTTAAAGTTGCATTATTGATATTAGCGTCAGCAACTGGTCTGATTTATTTAAAAAATGTCTACCAAATTTTAGGTCTTCTTCTTTTATGCTTTTAAATTTCATTTGGAACTAAAATTAAATGCAGTTAAACTCCCACCTTAATTCATGCAATCGCGAATTGCCTGAGATTTGGTGATGAAATGATAAAATTAAATAACACGAGTCGAGTTTAATAAAAAAGAACTGTACAGATATCTTGAATTAAAATGGTTATGGAGCTAGTGATACTTTTAGGTGTTTTATTTGCGCAAGGTAAAATTACAAATGTGTCTTTCATTCTTACCTTGTAGAACATGGAATGTTTGATTGCTTTTACTGGGCACTGAACTCGAATGGTGAAATCTAAAATTGAGTGCTAACGATCTGAGCTATCAAAGCTTTTGTCAAGTTAATTATCTACAACGACTTTTTAAGACCCCGTCATTGGGAGCTCCACCACTGATGCGTCTGCAGCAAAGTATTTTCATGTTGTACAAAATATTAATGACTGAAAAAAATATCACTGGTTACCCAACCAAAAAGAAAATATACAAATCTAAGCAGTTAAAATGTTTGCTAACTAACTACGTACAATTCTAAAAAATACAATAAAATCTGTATAAAGTACCATATTATACTATATTTGTTTTAAATATAAAAATATACATATTTGATAAACATTACAATACAATTAAAATTTAAATTATTTACAATTATGATATTTGAAGATTACTATGATACAACAGGTCCCTTGATCAGACAATCTTTGTATCCTGGGAGTTGAGTCAACTGCAGATTTTGCTCATTGCACAGATGTAGTAGCGCCACAAACGCTAACGGACAAGACATTTCTTGTTTTTCCTTTTGTCCAAGTAATTCTGGCAGCGACTTGTACAAATTCGAAAAATTCTGGGGTATCACTTGGACGTTTTGTTGTACCTAAAAATAATTATACAATTTTTAACGGAACAATCATAATTGTTTTTATTCTGCACATGCTAAGTAAATATCAGTGATGGCTTCTCAATTTAGTCAGAAAGTGTAGCAATAAAAACTACCAGACTGGATATTTATGAAAGGAATAGATATTTTAATTCTGTAAAAGCCAGTTTAGAGCACTAAGAGCGCTTCAGTATTTAATATAAATTGATTTTAAATATGTCAATATGTAGATGGAGCTATGCTTTTTTTTTTGATGAGAGGATCTTTCATATGTATCAGATCTTGTAGAAAATGCATTTTTGGCAGAAAAACAGAAAAGAATCGTAGTAACCCATATTTTTGTAATTTATTTATATACAAGAGACTCCAATTTAAGTGAAAAATATGTTATATGCACAAATACTAAGTAAAACTGGAACATAGGTCAACATAGTCATAAATAAATTTCTTTACAGGCACACCTATTTTATGTGCTGACCATCTCAGAAACTTGTGTTGAACTGTTTCAAGTCTATTAATGTAAATGTAATATTTTTTAGTGGGTCATTATTAAGTATATTTTATCATCTAGGTATTAATTTTGTTTTTTTTTTTGTCATTTTAATAATATAGTTTACATTTAGATTTACAAGTTTTTACTTAAAACCAGAGCTGTCACAATTACTATTGCAAAGTAATTGAAGTACCTATTACCAATTACTAGGCAACCAAAAAACTATGCAAATTACCAAAGTTACCAAATATGCAGACCAAAAGGTAAGATATATGCGCATATATATGCATATTATTTGTGTCAAATATGCATTTATTATGCGTTCAGTATGTAAACTAACTTATTTTTGGATTAAGGGGTATTTAACGCATCAACATGTGTCACAAAATTACTTAACAGTGGAAAATAATTTTAAAAAACGTCGAAAAAGTTTAAAATCTAACAAAAAACCTTACAAAAAATCTCAAATCGCTTCAAAAGATTCATCGACCATAAGTAGAATAGCAATCGACACGGAGTAATAAATCAAAATTTTATGAGTATTTTATAGCATAGGCGGCTCAAACAAAATCTGTGATTTTACACACCCGGAAGTTATAAGGTGTGTTAATTTTGTGGAACGTAACAATGGGCTACCCTTATTTTAATCCCTTTTAAGACTCTGATGAGCGCACGGTTGGGTAAATTGTAGGTCTTGAAAAATATTTTGTTATATACCTTGTTAATTTACTCAAACAGATAACTCTGCCATTTACATAAAAATTGCAAATAACTCAAAAAATATTTTGTAAACTACCTACATACCAGAGTTGGGTCGGATACAGGAAAAAAGTATCCGAGTACCGGATACGGATACTTTTTAGGATATTTTCACCTAAAAAGTACTTGGATAAAAGTATCCTAATACTTTTTCCGAATACTTTAAAGGATACTTTTACGAATACTTATAAAGTGAGTTAAAATAATGTTTTCATACCAATAGTTATAATTATGCAATAAGATTGATTACGAGTAACAATAAACAATACTAGAAATAAATAAATTATCGAAAATGGAAAGCGATATAATAGAAACAGAAAAAAACTACTCAATAAATTGTTTATTATTTTTATTCTGTGAATATAAAACATTAAAAAAAAATTAACAATAAAACATAAAGGTGGCTCAGTGGTTAGAGCCTCTGCCTGTGGATCCAAGGGTCCCAGGTTCGAATCCCACCGTTGGCCGGAATTTTTTCATTTAATTTAATTATTTAAAATTAATTCTGATGCCTTGGTAGGATTCCCCACTCGACCATTCACTTTTGGGTTCTAATTAACAGTGCTGTTCCTAAAGTGGCGCAGGGAAACAGTAACAAAGCCTACACAGAACACGAGGCGAAATAACCTTAGCAGTTGAAGTCGATGACACACAAAAAAAAAACATAGGTGCGTGTAAATAAAACGAGTTGCGCCTGAACCGCCCTAAAAACCAGCCAGTGTCGTGTCCACATAAATCTAACGAAATAAGCTCGTTGTTTTAAATTTCAGGAATGGTTAGTGATGTCTTTCTACTGGTGCTGACTTGTAAAGGCTCGTATTCTTGTTTTAAGTCTACAACTACATCTGTTAAATACTCGCAGTGTGTCTCTCCAACTGAATAAAACCGAGGAATCTCTCAACTACCTAATTGCCCTTTACATACCTAAGAATAAAAGTAAGCTGGTCTTGATGGCTGATGTCTGGGGTAGAGTCTACAATTATAGAGAAATATTTGGCTTCTTTAATTTCTAGTATAAAAGTCTCTACAAGTTTTGTTTTCATCATTTCCAGGAATTCATAGCAAATTTGGCAGGACAGATAGCTAACTGACCCTTCTAAATGCTCAGCTAAGAAATTGTCAAATTTAGCCAAATACACAAGACAACTTAAGTAATTTCCTTCATAAGAACTCGTTAAATCCTCATTGGATCACGGAAAGCTAATCCTTGAGAAGCACGAAATTTAATGGTGGCAACAATTCTTCTTAGGACCTTTACCCAATAGTCAGCTTCGCAATCTACTTGTTCTTTCAAGTCAACGTCTATAACTCCAATTAATGATGATCGTGTTATTAATGTAACCATGGAGTTCAGATTGAGACTTACTTTCTTCATGAGATTTGAGTAAACTATTCAAATATTTTCAGTTGGTACATCCAAAATCAGTTAAACTATTTTTTTCAATTGAAAATAATTTGCACAGGTAACAATAAACATCTTTAACACTTGCGTCTTATATAATCCAATCTCTCTTCTCTTTGCCTCCATTAGGTTTGACTCTATAAAAGTTGCTGTCATTTAATCTTCTATAATAAACTTTGTCTCCATCTTGATATATTTTTTCAGTATTTTCTAGGGAATGACTCTTTGGTTTAAAAATTATCAGAGTTCTAATAAATTTATCAGTCTTAAAATTAGGCCATTTTGAAATCGCAGGTATTTCGTCGTCTTTTGAGATAACTGTCTCCTCCGGTACAGATCTGCTGCCATTGTCTAATGTAATAAGATCATCTTGTCTGTCATACATTTTCATGTGAATTTTGAGATCCAGTTTCAAGAGTATTCTCCCTCACTTCTTGATCCACTTCATGATCTTTATTTTCTCTATTTGTATCAAAAAAAGTCGATATCTTTGTTAATTTTTCCCTGGCTTGTTCTTGCACCTTTTTCTTTTTCCTCTTTTCTGCACCTGACTGATGCCGTTAACTCATTTTTACACCTAGACGCCTACAAACACAAAAGTCGTTAGTAACAGATATTTTTAACACTATTAAAATACTACTTCTTACCTCTCACTTTTTTGTAACAAATTTATTCACTTTCGTCTAACGCCCTATATATGCACATAAAAACAAATATATAAACTGTAGGTACCTGTAGTACACCTATACATACACATATTTTACTCATCTGCTCGCTTTGCCAGGTTCGCACTATCGGCACTATCTGCGTGGTTGTCGGTGACACGAGGGAATCACGTATCTACGATCGCCGGACCGCCCGACGCTAGACAAATAGAACATAGGCCTACGCTAGGCCGGACGTGTATAGCGTATGGGTACAAACACAGTAGAAGCAGATTTCCGTTTACCGGCAATCAGCGCCGATCTGCGCCGTTGTCTCGCGACTGAATGGTACAGAGTGAATACTTGTAAAAGCGAGAAAAATCGTTCTTAGTTGCGTCTACAACTTCTAGCAAATTGTCTTTTTCTGATTACGATCTGATTGCTTTAGATTCTGTTTTGACTAAAATGAAGAGAAAGAGAATTGGTATACAATCTGTAGTATTATTGTCAGTTATATTTTGTTGTTGGTTACTTTTAAGGGGCCTAGGATAATTAGCAAGATGATTTTGGGACGTGGTTGATTGTTGGCTTAAGAAAACGAAAGAGTAGGCATTCTGATAACCAGGAGAAGGCGCACTAGAATGGGATGATGTAGAAGATAATGACGAGGATAAGTGTAAAGTTAATAGGAATATTGTTCCACTAATTCATGTACGCGACAACGAAAAGATAGTATTCTGTTTTCAGGTATTTTCCTTACGTGCGGCAGCAAACTTTTGAAAAATGAAAGATGTTCGTTTTATTTAAATGCTTATTTCCTTCCAATATTTATCAATTTCATTCCGATTGCAATGCAATTTCTCCCTCTTGTCCCAAATAGGGAGTCTTTCAAAAACGGTAGCAATAAGTGCTTTCTTATCCATGGTACAACCACTAAACCAGCGCGTACCAAAAGCAGAAATAAACTAAATTGTCATTCCGGCAAAAGCGAGACCGCAGGTTAGCGCTGTTTACTGGCGTCGACCTGCTTTAACTGTGTACTTGTCAATTTAAAAACATGTATTCATTTTAAAAGCTTATAAGCGCGCCTCGGCGCTGATTGCCGGTAAGCGGAAATCTGCTTCCATTGTGTTTGTACACTATGACTATGAGGTCCGGGGCCCTGGGCTAGCGCCAGCGGAAAAACTGGAGCTGCCCTTGAAGAGTGCAATGAAGGAAGAGTGGTCAATTATAGACACAGCAAACATTATATTTGCAATGAAATTTAAAAACCTATCAAAGGGGTATGTGGTATGGGGCGAACGGTGTAGGGTGTGTGGTGTGGCGTGTCTGTATACTCGATAACTCATGATCATATATAGAGAAAAATATCAAATTTTAAACTAATGCTTTAATGCATCCTGCGGAAGAGATGATTAGATTTTGGGCATAGTCGGAACATCTGGGGACTACTTTATAGGAGAACTTTTTTCTTGTTTATGGAATATATCTTATTATTTACGCTTGGAGAAGAAAATTCTTCAAATAAAAGTTTCTTATAATATTATTCTCTATAATTTTTGTCCTATACATCATAATTTTCCTTTAATGGTACGTATTCGAGAAATTTGACAAAAATAGAAAAATTTTAATTTTTAAGAAATTCATTAAATAAAATCTATTTGTGATGTAATTCTCTATAATTTTTGTCCTACACATAATTTCTCTAAAATGAACCGTATTCGATCTTGATGAGAACTGATTAAATTTTATGAATAGTAAGAACATCTGGGAGGTACCTTATAGGGGGTCGTTTTTCTACTTTAAGAAATATATGTTATTTACCCTTGGAGAAGACAATTCTTAAAGCTGCTTCTAATATTATTCTCTATAATTTTTGTTCTATACAAAATTTTCCTAAAATGGTCCGTATTCGAGAAATTTGACAAAAAGTGCAAAATTCGAATCTTTAAAAAAACTTCTTTAAATAAAAGTTTCTTGTGATATCATTTTCTATAATTTTTGTTTCATACATGATTTCTCTAAAATGGACTGCAATGGAAATATTTAAGGAAATATTCATTATTTTTAATTTTTATACCCCCAACACCACAAGCCAATTTAAATAATTATGTTCAATAAGCCAAATACTTTATTTTTCTAACAATAACCAACAAAATTTGAAGAAAATCGCATTATTATTAACTGAGATAGTATAGTGCATTCATGAAAAGCGGGACACGCTGTATATTAACTAATCTTAACAATTTATTTACAACTCATTGTATGTGAAAATTATGTATGAAAATCCAGTGTTTTTAATATTCGTACAAAATGGGATAGGTATGATTTGTAATTGGAATTTTTTTTTTGTTTTTTCATGTTTTGGCCGAAAAAAAAACAAAATAGGCTAACCTTTAATAGAAAATAAATTAAATAATTCTTACCTCAGAATTAGCCGTTTTACAACCTGTCAGTCTCATCCAAATAGCCTTCTTTAATTTTCTCATATCTATTTGTTTAGATTTCTGGGCATAGTGAATGTAAGTATTTGGTACCTAAAAAAAATATTTTGGATTAGTATAAAAAAATATTATTTTTAATAAGAGTACCATTTCAGGATTATCAACCAAATTTTCTGCCAAATTTCCCACTTCTTGATTGATGAATCCTTCGTCTTCTTCAACATTATCATCAGCTTCCAAGTTGTCATGCTAAAAAGATGAAAAACAAAAATAGTAAAATTTTCTTTAAACACATTAAATAAAAAATATATAAGTTGAATACTTACAGGTTGTGATTGAGAACAGTATAAAGAATCATTTTCATTTTCATAATTGTATGGATTAACTTCCAACTCTTCTGTATCGGTGATAGGTTTGTCCGTCTTTTCCACAGGACAAACTCCGTGCTTTAATATTAATTCCTTTATATTTGTCATTATTCTCGCACAAGACTGGTCCATGAGAGGAAGCGTTATTCTTGATAAAAAAAAAGATGGAACAATTAAATTTAATTTTTAAAACCTCAAATAAAAAAAAAATCGAAAAAAAAATTAAAACACCTACTTGTCAAGATCTATAGTCGATCTCTTCTTTGAAGCAGATCTTTTTATAAAATCAATTACTCCAGGTTCTTCAGTAAAATCAATCATTTCAGGTTTCTTTTTCTGTCTCTTTTGTTTTTCTTGCACGATTTGGCCAGAAAATCGGGGAGTCGATCTATACATATAAATTAAAATATATTAATTATTTGAGGATGTTTATCTTGCTGAAGAATTTGATATTAATACCACAAATTAATTTGTGTGTTAATTGTCAAGGACACCCTACTCCCGTGTTGATCCAGCAAAACGTATTTTTATTTTAAATCTATTATGAATAAACTCATATGATATATTTTTTATTTTTCAATTGTGTTAATAAATAGTGGAGACATAAACAATGCCTTCTATTTTTTGCTACATATAACATGAATTATCTTTACGCTTGAAGAAAAAACAGTACCTATATATTACTCGGAGAAGAAGGCTTGATTATTATGTGTTTCCCTCAGATTACACTGCCACGGCTGGCGCTTCGGCAGTAAACTTCTGGGCTCAACACCTTCTACTCCTAGTAATATAATATACTATTGTAGAAAGATTATCTTTTTACAAATTTTCAATATGTTTCCCATTGAAAAAAGTCAAAGAGAAAACCTGTCAAAAAATGTCAGTTTTGCAAGGAGGAATGCAAAAGGCGTTTAAATATTCTATTCACAATGAGTATAGAAAGAGTATAACAAGAAAGTATTAACTAAAAAAAAAGAAAGAATTTATTTTAGGAAACCAATATCTGACTCAGGCAATAAAGCTAAAACAACATGGCAAATAGTGAGTAATATAAATGGCAAAAATAACCAACATTCTATACAAATACCGGAGGAGGCGTCAACAGCAAACAATTTTATGACTTTTCTTGAAAAGTCAATAAAAGATGTAATATCTGGCCTAAGTAATGGTAATTATGAAAGTACAATATCTTGTTACTTAAGGCGGCTTTAGCAAATGTATTAGCATAGGAGAATTTTTCAACATATAAGACGGGCTTTCTAGACAATGAATTTATGCGGATTTGCTTTTATAATATTCTAATATTATTGAACTAGTTCCTGAATATATTTTAAAGTGGAAAAAAATTGAGAGAATGAAGAAAATAACGAATTTGTGAAAATTTTACATGTAAAAAAGTCATCATAAATCGCTATAAAAACTATTTCAGGAATTCCCATTCCCATTAGAGGCTCCGCATAAGAAATATTTCATTTTTTGCTTTCATTTTCCAGTCTAATATGCACAAAAATTTTTAATTTTAACCCAAAAAACGCAACCAACATTACATAAAACAGGTGTAATCCCTGTAATTTTAGGTTCAGGCAATCTTATATAGATGACGCCACCTGAAAATATCAAATTTATATCGAGCAACGTTGTCATATTGTTATGAAGTATCGGAAGCAAGGAAGTTCGTTATTTTATTACAAAAATTAGGTAAATTGTGTTAAGTCTGGTTTTGGAGAAACATTTAAAACGTGTAGAGATTTTGTAAAATGTTTCATTTTTATATTACAAAATATAAGAACGTAATTTGTCAGATATTAAATATAATGTTGAGTTTTGTTTTTTCTGGCTGGATTTACATGAAAATTGGAGCAAGATGCATGTGAAAACATCGATCCTGGCCTTTCAAATGCATTTGTGGGTTCACAAATTAGTTGAGAAGAGTTAAAAGTAAGAGCAAACTTTTAAGCCAATTTATATTCTTAAAATCAACTGAAAAAGTACTTAAAATATTTATTGAAAATACAGTAAATTTATCACACTGATTATTGCAGCATAGTTTAAATTTTTATTATTATTATTATTATTATTATTATTATTATTATTATTATTATTATTATTATTATTATTATTATTAATTATTATTATTATTATTATTATTATTATTATTATTATTATTATTATCTCTTCTGTATTTTTGTTTACATTGTATGTTTTTTTACTTTCCTATCTGTATACAGATAAGGAAAGTATAGTAATCATGATTTTTTCGACATCGATTTTTTGACGGATTTTTACATTTTGGATCCCCTGAATCCGTTTTGACTATTTTCGCGATGCTGTCTGTGTGTGTGTCTGTATACTCGATAACTCATGAACGGATAAACAGAAAAATACCAAATTTTAAAATTAAGTCTTATTCCGGCCTGCGGTGAACTGATTAGATTTTGAGCACAGTTGGCACTTGGGGGTACTTTATAGGGGGTCATTTTTATATTTTATGGAATATATTTGTTATTTACGGTTGTAGAAGAAAATTCTTTGAATAAAAGTTAATTCAAATAATATTTTCTACAATTTTTGTTATATACAAAATTTTGCTAAAATGGTTCGTATTCCAGAAATTTGACAAAATGTAAAAAATTCAAATTTTTATGAAAATTATTTATATAAAAGTTGTTTGTGATACAATTTTCTATAATTCTTGTCTTATACATAATTTCTCTAAAGTGGACCGAATTCGAGATATTTGATAATTAGTGTAAGTTTAGAATTTTGAAGAAAACTCGAAAGCGGATAAAGAAAAAACATTATTTGTTAAATTGAAGCTTTATTCCGACCTGTGGTGAATTGATTAGATTTTGGACAAAGTCGGAACATCTGGGGACGGGGTTACTTTATGGGAGGTCGTTTTATATTTTATTGAATATATCTGTTATTTATGTTTGGCGAAGAAAATTCTTTAAATAAAAGTTACTTTTAATATTATTCTCTATAATTCTCACTTTTTACAATTTTTTCCATAAATGGACCGTATTCGAGAAATTTGATAAAAGGTGCAAATTCTGATTTTTAAGAAAATTGGTAAACTAAAAGTTGTTTGCAATATCGATCTCTATCATTTTTGTTTTTTACATTATTTCTCTAAAATGGACCGTAATAGAAAAACTGGAGGAAAAGTGTAAAATTAAATTTTTTCAGTGTTTTCATTTGCAGTGAATATATATCGAAAAATGTTTCGAGTTAGATGTATGTAAATGTATATATTTAGTTTATCCTTTAAACATTTACAGAGTTGCTGCAATAGATTGTACAAAATAATCGGGAAAAGCCTGTAATAACTAGATAGGAAAGTCATGTGTTGGACACATCAGATTTTTTCGTAAATGGTTAATTTAAGGTCAATAAAATGAATTATTACTATTACTTATTATTGACCGTCTTCACCGTCGTCAAACATGTTTTGCTTACAACTGTCAACAGTATCAATCGCTTCACTGCTTTTTAAATCATGATGGATAAATAATGGAGCGAATAGATTATGCTTTTATCCTTAAGGCCTACTTAAGCATAAAAGCATAATCTATTTGCGCCACCACAAACAAGAACAAACTGAAATTTAATAAACAAACTCAGTTGATCAACTGCTGGGTAACGTGTAATTACCTATAAAAACACTAAAAAAAACACAAAACAAAACAATGATAACTAACAAATAAGCTCAGACTGGATGAACAAAGAACTACTTAATAAAATACGAACCAAAATAGATTCAAATGTTTATATTACATTGTCCTAAAAGTTTTATTCTGGTTCATAATAGTATATTATTAAACGAGCAATTTATGGTAGCCATTATTCACGCAGGATGACGTTTGCGTCCCGAGCCGTAGGCGAGGGGCGCAAGTCACCCGAGTAAATAATGGCCATAAATTGCGAGTCTAATACTATACTTTGTCCACGACCATTATGGTTTCTTTATTAAATAAAAGTTAAGTGTAGAATGGAAAGTTTTTATTAAACATAGATAACTAACTGTTGTTTTTTTCCACTTTTCGATTTTCGATTTCTCGATTTTCGATTTTTCGATTTTTCGATTTTTCGATTTTTCGATTTTTCGATTTTTCGATTTTTTGATTTATCGATTTTTTGATTTTTCGATCTAGACAATATCGTTATGAAAAGTATCGCCTATCTTTAGTTATCTACCGGAATGTGCCAGAATTACAAAAGCGTGAATTATCATAATTCACTTCGTGATATATGGGTACTATATGCTTTTAGTTAGGAGGTAGAATATTGATTTATTATTAAGTGGTCGTGGACAAAATTATTTAAATACGGTCCCTATAGGTTCGATATTCTAATGTTATAGTGTTTGTCTCGTCCGGCGGTACAATAAAATGTTACGAGCACTTTAGATTTGGGAGGGAGGGGACACTTGTCGGGTCCGCCGGAAAGTAGTTTACACAACTTGGCAAACAGGCAGGTATAATTCAACATTTGAATTATTTCGCAGAAGTGCATCTAATCGCCATCTATTGACAACTTAGTTAATTTGTAGTTTTTGTTATGAATTTCCTGGCGTGCAAATTCCGACATAAAGTCTATATATGTAATACCAGTAACTGCATTGGAAATTGTAGAGAATGGGAAAAAAACTGAAAAATAAGATGAGTAGTGGTATAGATGAGGTACCAACAAAAATTATTAAAAAATGTATTGAGCAAATTGTGAATCCACTAGTATATATAATAAATAACTTTTCAATTTGGGGTGTTTCCTGATCAATTAAAAATACTCTGCATAATACCTGTTTACAAAAAAGGTGACTTAAAAAGGTGGAGAACTACAGACCAATTAGTCTTTTAAATCCTTTCTCAAAAATGTTTGAAGCAGCAATGTGTAAAAGGGTATCAGAATTTGTTATGACCTGTAACTTACTAAATAAAAATCAACATGGAGAATAATAGGCTGGCGCCTATTCTTCGACTTGTCCAAAGCCTACGATGTTTAGACCATGGGATAGTGCTGGAAAAGCTGGATAAATATGGAATTAGGGGGCCCGCATTTGGGTGGTTCAAAGGATAGGAAACAGGTTGTCAAAATATATAAAAATAATGATGAAGGTAGATCTGTAGAAATAACATCTAATATAGAAATACCCCAGGGAAGTATAGTAGGTCCTTTGATTTTTACTATTTATTTGAATGAACTAAACAGCGTTATGGTAGCTGATGACAACTGTCCAGACATGAATATCTTAACACGTTGAAGGACAGTGACGTCGTACGGCGTTTTTTAAATCCCTTATTAAGTGACAGTACGTCGTACGGCGTTTTTTTTACTGACTAAAAAAAGACAGTACGTCGATCGGCGTCGGCTTTTATACAGTGTGTCTACTTAAGTTGGAACCATATGGAAAAAAAATGTATTATTGATTTTAGGAAAAAAAGTTATTCTTGATAAAAAGTCCTGCATGACCCAAAACTTAAAATACAGTCATCAGATATCAAATTTTTCAAGCCGAATACGAGGTTTGTCAAACAATATGAATTTTGCTCAAGAGTAAAGTACGTTTATTTTTGACAAAATCGAAAATTTTCATTAAGAAAAGTTGATTAGAATTGAATATTACATTCAAATATGCAATTACACCGATCTATCTGAAAAACAGATTTTCTTATTTTTTATAAACTCTACACTCTACACATTGATTGTAAATATCTGAAAACGTTATAAATTACGTTAGCTACTATAAACATGATACGCTTTCCTTTTGTTGATGTTTGTGAAGAATTTAGCAAATTTCTTAATGAAAATTTTTAATAAACGTACTTTACTCTTGAGAAAAATTCATATTTTTTGACAAACCTCGTATACGGCTTGAAAAATTTGATATCTGATGACTGTATTTTAAGTTTTGGGTCATGCAGGACTTTTTATCAAGAATAACTTTTTTCCTAAAATCAATAATAAAAATGTTTTCCATATGGTTCCAACTTAAGTAGACACACTGTATACGAAACACTGTACCTTTATTGTTACTGCCACAAACCAAGCAGATAAAATACTTATGGTGTCGCTCTTAAGGACTTTTATCCCCTCCCACACATTCTTTAGCTCTCCCTACCCAGTTTCATCACAACGCCGGGCGGCGTCGTACTTCCAATTCTGTTTACATTGTTTACATTTTTAGTTTTAGTGTCGTTTTGCTAACGTAAGTTCCACCACGTGTTTGCAGTGTATTATTGTTTGCCACACAGATAATGTAAGTATTGATGCTGCTTATAAAGAATAGGTTGCGAGAAATTGCTGTGCGTTTTCAGTGTGAACTATTTATTATTTTTTGCATTAAAAAAGTTTGTTTTGTAGTAGATGGGCGACTATGAGCGGGAACAAAAACGGTTGCAGCAGATGTATGATGAGCTCTCCTCTGAGAGTGAACAAGATTCTTTCAATGACAGTGACGGTGAATATGGCTCTGATAAGGATTATGAGCCAAACGAATCTTCTGAATCAGAGTCTGAGGATAATGCTGACGATGAAATACATGATTCATCGAACGAGTCTGCACAAGAGAGCCGAACTAGTAATGCACAGGCAGTAAATGATTACGAAGATTCTGAATCTCTATGGAAGGAAACTACTTACCCGATTCCCGACTTTGCATTTGATGAAGCCAATGTTGGACTTAAAATAAATGTGGGTCCTGACGCTACACCAATTGATATGTTTGAAAAACTGTTTACGCCTCAAATACTACAGTATATAGTTGATTGTTCAAACGGATATGGAAACTTTCTGACTAACATAAATAGAGCAAAAACAAGGAACTCTCGAGTTTTCGCCCCTTAACAAGTGAGGAAGTGAGAGCTTTTTTGGGATTATGCTTACTTCAGGGCCAAATTTCAACTACGAATATGCGACGTTATTTCTCCTACTCTGATGTACTTTACCACCATCCAATATTTCCTTATATTATGTCAGCTAGAAGGTTTGAAATGATACTTAGAGTGTTTTTCTGTTCACCACGAAACGCAAAAAAGAATGGGAAAGTGCAACCTCTGATAGAAAAGTTACTAACAGAATTTCAAAAATGCCTATAAACCTTAGAAGGAACTTTCGATAGATAAGTCTTTGCTCCATTTCCGTGGCAGGCTTGGCTTTAGAGTGTACATAAAAAATAAAAAAGACCGATATGGCATAACATTTTTCGAACTGACCACTTCCGATGGGTATTCACTAAATATGGAGATGTACAGTGGTGTTGAAGATGATGCCAGCGCAGATACAAAAAAAACCGAAGCCCTAGTAGTTAGATTGATGGGACCCTATCTAAATAAAGGTCACTAACTATATATGGACAACTATTATAATAGCGTCCCGCTTGCCGAAAAACTATTAAATTGTAAAACATACATAACTGGCACCCTTAGAACCAACAGAAGAGGTACTCCAAAGTCATTGACAGCAAAACTCAAAAAAGGCGAGTATTATTGGCTTCGTAAAAAACAAGTTTATGTAAGCAAATGGAAAGACAAAAGGGATGTTCCGATTATAACTACAAAAACTCATCCACGCATCGTCACAGTCAGAGATAGGTTTGGAAAAGAAAAAGCCAAACCAGAAGAGGTGTCAAGTTATAATGATCACATGGCTGGTATTGACAGGTGTGACCAAATGACAGCCACCTATTGTAGTCCACGTAAAACAATTAGGTAGTATAAAAAAGTCATGTTATATTTACTAGATGTAGCCAAATGGAATTCCTTCTATCTTTATCGAAAATATTGCAAAAACGATTCCCGTACTTACCGATTTATTTAATTCAGAGATGACCTTATAAAATCTCTTATCAATATACCTCCAAATTTGGAAGCAATCAGTTTAGGAAGGAGGAAAAAACATGACAACAGGCGTACAGTATCAGCTCAAAACGTCGACGTGCCAAGCAGCCATACTGGACATTGGCCTGAAAAAAATCCAGGCGTTCCTGGATCGAAATCTCAAAAAAAATCCATCTTTTTGAAATGCCGCATGTGTTCAAAAAAAGGGCAGCGTAAAGAAACAAGTTTTCGTTGTAAAGGCTGCGTATCCAAACCGCCACTTTGCCCCTGCTGTTTCGAAGAGTGGCATCAACCAGAAAATAACGACTGAAAAGCAAACGGACGAAGTTCTTCTGATATACAGGAATATTCATTTTCAATAAATTCGTTTATGCGCTAAAGAAATAGAGCAATGTGTTAGTTTCTAAAGTAGATACTTAAGTTTTTTTATACCGGATTTTTTCAAATAAATAAAAAAATTACTATGAGCAATATTTTTATCAAGAACATTAGTAAACCAGAGGTTGTCTGGTTTTTAGCAAAACGACGTCTATCAGCGTCGACGTCTATCGGCGTCGTGACGTAAGTTTTTAATGATATTTCAATTTACAAAGTGACAGTACGTCTATCGGCGTCAATTATAGAAAACTTCAAAAATTTCAAAAATATTATCTTTTAGCCCCTTTGTAACCCATAACACTAATATTTTCGACTTTTATGCCCAAATTCTCGAAAATTTCGTAGTGCCATATAACGTTCTACTTAGATTGTTGCACTGCCCTTCAACGTGTTAATAAATGCATCGATCAACGATCAATGATCAACGACCAATAATCAATAATTAATAATTATATTATATATTATTATTTTTATTATATTTTCTCTTTGTAAACTAAAACTGTAATTTGATTATCTTATAAAATTGATTTTTTTTTTTTCAGTAAAAGATTTTAAGGAAACAATTGGATTGTTTCCGTACCTATACTACAAATTGAAATAATGAACAATTGTGCACTAATGGGACAGACTTTATTTCACATAATAATGTATTATTTTTAACAGTATGTAATGGGGTAGTTTACTTACCTCCGTAAACATTTGAGCTTCCAATGACTTGGACCCGCCCAAATTTGATCTATGTATTTTCCGTCGGGATTCGTTATTATCGAATTGAAGGAATACTCTGAAGAATGCATGGTATTTTCCGTGGGTCTGAAGTCAACAACGTGCGTAACGGAACCGCGGAATTCTGACGCTAAATGTTCAGCGTGTCGTATTTCAATAACATGATCATCATCAGCAAGATTATCCATTTCCACTGCAATAATCATTGTATTAAAACTTTAAACTGAATAAAATGGTAGGTAGTCAATTAAAATATTTATTCCATAAATTATTTTCTGAAAGTAATAAAAAATGAGAACTGATGTTTAGAAGAACACAGAGATATTTTTAAAAAGTTTGTTAAATTTAATGATTGTAAATTATTAAAGTTTGTTAAATTTAATGATTGTAAATTATTTTGTAATCTGTGATTTAATCTTACCATCTGCATCATTATTTTCAAAACAATCCTGAACGGAACCATCAAGTTCTGGAATTGGGAAACCATTATCATCAAATACCACTGGTTGTATTTGTGAGAGCACCGACTTGTCTGCATTTAATCTACAAAGAAAAACAAAATCAATATTTGTGAATTTAATAAATCATAAAATCGCAAATCAAAATCCGAAATGTCAGAAATATCTGAAATAAGTGGCGGAATAATTTGAAAATCAGAACAAATCACAAAAATTCCCCTACCAATTATTAAGACCATTCCGGAACCAGAAAGGTAAAAAAAATGCCGAACCGGGAGCCTAACTAGCACATCAAATTTCTGTCTAGGAATCTCATCTCGACAGTCAATGTCGTGATGTTCTAGATCAGGGGTTTCTAAACTACGGCCCGCCGGCCAAATCCGGCCCGCCAGTGTCATTAATCCGGTCCGCGACAGCTAATGGCTTATTGTTGCTGTGATAAATTGGATAAGAAAAAAACATAATGATAATAACTCTGCTTTATTTTCTTGCTAGGTATAGCTTAATGACAAGTATAATTCGGAGAAAATTAAACTCCAGCATAATAATTAACAAATAATTGATCTAAATCCCACTAATATTATAAACTAGTGAATGTCCTGCCGTTTCACCCTCGGTAGTTTTGTTGGGGTAAAAAGTATCATATATGTATATCGATGTTTGGAATGTATATGTTACGGTCAGAGAAATAAGCTTGAGAGAAACAGCGGGAACTAGTAACATTTTGGGAGCACAAGGATATAAAAAATGTCATTGTAAATCAAATAAAAGCAGCTGCCGTGCAAAAGTGTCATGGAAACATCAATTGCACAAACAAGCACGAATAAATTTCTTATTTTTATATGAAACAAATCAAATTTATTAATTTTACCAATTTTATTTTTGTAAGCTAAAATAAAGAAAGTTTCCGTTTCTTCAATACGTAGGTAATACCCATTATATTTTATATTAAACGTTTTTTTCAAAATAGTGTTTTTTGTGTCTCCAGTATAATTAACTAACTATTTTTATGTTAAACCACATTTTCGAAGAAGCTTAATTAAACCTAGTGATCATTAACAACAATGTCCAAATAAAACTGATCAGTCACGACAATGGCCGGTCAAAGATGTAATTATTCATATTAAAAATGATACACTCATACATTGGCCACGTTAAACGGGAATTCTTATCATTGGCCGGCTAATGACGTCAATGGAGATAAAACGTGAAAATGACCAATGGCCGGCAGTTAACGTCTTTTCCCAGTTAACGTCTTTGACCGTAACATATATATCCTGAATCACACTTATGATTTTTTTCCTGAAAATACTTCAGGAACGGAAAAGCTAAATTAACGCGAATGAAAGCGCAGGATGTCCACTTATAAAAAATGCTAATGAGATTTATGTAATTGTGATTTTCCACTGACAATAGTTTGTAGTTGTGGGTCAATTTTACTTGTACGAATTATTAAAAGAGATTTAAGATGCTCATCGGTTAGCTTAGATCTGTAAACATTCTTTGTGTACTTCATTTTGGGGAATGTTTTCTCACTCAAGTAAGTAATACTAAAAACAGAAAACAGCCCACCCGTAAATTTATGCAAATTATCAAATTGTACCAGTGGAAGACTCTTATAAAATAAAATTCCAACAAGTCAAATTAAAATACTGTTACGTAAGGGCGTTGGTCAGTTTGAAGATGTCTTTTAAACGTGGTTACTCACTACTTTATTTCACAACAGACAATTTTGCTTCCTTCGCCTTCCCTAGACAGACTGACTCGCGGTCGCACCACTAGCCTTTTTATACTCCAATTACTCTGCCTTCTCGAAGTGAGTGGAATACACAAGAACTTTTTCGAACCACTGAGATTATTCACGAATGTTTAATTGTTATTGCGATTTCGAAAGTGCTACTAGCGCCATCTGTTAGCGATAGAGAGTACTAGCACTACCTATTTCCGCTTTTGACCACCAGATTTCGTCAAGTGTCACGGTCTTAACAACTAGCGTATGCTCGCTCAGGGCGCGTACTGGGAGACTAGTCTAGAAATTATAGACAATTGCAGAAAAAATAAAACCATTTTTGCCCTTGGAACTTACTGAAGTAATCAGTTGGCCCTAAGGCTGGAAAGTTTGGAGAACCATGGTCTAGATGGAAGAGCACTTGTCTAGCGAATAAGGAAGTGCAGGTGCGATTCTCGGCTACAGAATTTTTTTCAAATCTCCAAGTATTTGTTTCCACCTTTGGGTTTCGGGGATGGTCTTAATAATTCGTAGGAGGATTTGTGAGAATTGTTTCCGATTTTTCAAATTATTCAAACAACAAATTCTACTTTCCTCTATATTTTGAGACATTAAAACACATCATTTTTTGTCAATTTAAAGTGATTTTATTGACATATATGCTTTTTAAATCTCAACATCTAATGAATGTTGAATAGATAATTAAAACCTTTTTAAATGCAGGCTTTAATTTCACTTTTCTATAGGTCTATATAGACAAAATTAAAGAGATAACATCGATGTGACGATGATGTTAATAAAGTATATTTTTCACTTATCTGTATTATTTTACTGGATAGGACAAAAAAACGTTCCGAAAAATTGGCCGATTTGGGCAAATAATATGGCGGACCGGATGTTATTTAACGTAACCTCTATTTCCATTTGTCATCACATTTGTCATTTAATTGTGTCAACAAGCTACGATGAGATGTTTTAATTGTGGAAAACAAAGTAAAAAGAGTATGAATTAAACAATAAAAGTTCATTCCTGAAGGCACAATATCTTCACGTTTCCATTTTTATATTTTCTTTCATAAAAAATCAAATCATGGGTGAATTTTCCCGAAGGACATCGCCCGCAAAAGGAATAGAAGAAGAATAAGAAGAAAAACTAATCAAATTATAGGTTAGGTATGTCAAATTATCCCAAATTTCAATTCTGTGAACCCACCATAATTTGCCCAAATCGGCCAGCATTGTTGCACTTCCGGTCTCCTTGGTGGAACGGTTTTTTAGTATGTTAAATATAGCCTATATCCTATCCAGTAAAATAATACAGATCAGTGATATTTTTACTTACAAATCTATTTCTTGCTCTGGATCCCACTGGTTCACTATAAAATCATGTAATGGAGCATTCACACTACAATGCTTGAGTGGTAATAGTACATTATTTAATGGCATTCTCTCATCATTTTTGACGATACTGTCAGAAGTTTCCAAGAATTTCTTTGAGGCATCTCTGTAATAATAAATAAGAATATAAATAATTTGTCAATTAAATAAGTCAGTAACTTACAATAATATAAAAGAACTTGAAGATTCTTTTAAAATGTTACTGAAAAGATTATCTATGGTGCCAGTATCCGCATTAACCCTTGTCGTAAAATCGGTCGGTTCTAAGTTTGACAATTTTCCCAGATTAGATTTAGGGTTTTTAGCAACTGTAGTTTTCACTCCAGTATTAACCTTTGTCTTTTTCTTCTTTTTTGCTTTTTCTGACGGACGTCCGCCATCTTGTTCATCCCCAGATTCGGCATCATCTTAAATTTACATATTTATATAAATTAAATTCATAAGTAGCCATTTTTTAACTTGGTAATTTATGTTTATATCCATTTGTATACATACCATAGAAGGCCCTGGGAACGGAATGTATTTTTTCCTACGACCACTTAGGAAAGTGACACATATCACACTATATAGTCCTATGGAAAGTGCCCTATATCACACGCGTATAAATAAGAATTTACTTTCCACCCTCGTACGAATATGCTACTTTCCGCAGTAGCTGTCAGAAAATGTCAAACACATAATTTCTATTTTGATCTAAATACTAAAATCGATATGATTGTTAAATTATTGAAATTGTTGTAAATTAGATCCTAGATATTTATCTTTAACAATTATTATTAAAATAACTAAGATATATTTGCTTTTAATTCAGGTTAAACACATAAGCGATTAGATCAATCAATTACCGTAATGTCTGTTAGCTCAGTTGGTTAGAGCGTGAACTTTGCAATTTGAGACCATCTAGCGACCGCGTTCAAATCCTGGCTGTGCCAGATTTTTTATTTTTTTATTTTTTTTTATTTTTTTTTATTTGTTTAGAAATTATAAAAATTGAATAAATACGATAATTGTTGATTATTTTTTTAAATACATTTTAATTATTATAATAATCTAGTTTTACATTTTTTTGATGAAATTATTTTGTGGTCGTAGGAAAAATATTGTACATCACTTGTGTGAAAAGTGATTTTCCACACTCGTAATGTAATATACTATAGTATACATACATTCATTTTTAACTAAACTAAAATTATTTTTTCGAAAGCAGTTTTTTAAATTTCTACTAACCATTTCCTGCAGGGACTGCGTCCTCAGATACTCTTGCCATATTACTGGCTAACTTTAGGCCCTCTGAATGAACATCATCTACTCTTATACCATATACTTTGGCACTGATATCAATAGAAGTACTTGCAACTTGTAGAACATTTTGTCCATGTTTTTGGCACAAAGGCTTGAGAATATCGATAATTTGTAATTTCCAAGCATTTTTCACAGTAATTTTCTGAAAAACCAAATAACTCATATTAATTTATAATGTATCAGTTGTACTATGTACCTGAGGAAAATTAAAAATGTACTTCTTATATCTCAAAAAGTTCGAATTTCTACTTTTAAAAAAAGTACGAGATGAAAGAAAAGATCTCTTTCGAGCTCCCATTTATGTGCATTACATACAAATAAAAAAAAATGTCAAAATTATTTTGACAGATAGGCTACAGTGTGAAATATAAACTTCCAGGCGGGTTGTACAATAGACAGTTAAAATGTAATCTTAGATTAAACTGTGAACCTCGTTATACAATCATAGGTTATTGCTAAACATAGTTTTAAAAATGACATTTGTATGTTAAATTTAGGGCGGGTTGTATAAAGAATGCTGTAAACTCAGTTTTTTAACTGGTTATATTGAAAGTACTCATACAATAAGCTATTTTTCGCAGCATAAACCAACATGAACGTTTATGATAGATTATGCTATTTAGACGTTTATATACGTCTACAGGCGTCTAAATAACATCTATCATAAACGTTCATGTTGGTTTATGCTGCGAAAAATACCTTATTGATATCAACTCCGCAGGTTAACTAACTGCGCTTTTCGTTATTATTTTACAAGGTTGGTAGTGAAGTACTCAGAATACACTGCCTTTTTAAACTAATGAGACTGAAAAGGTAACGTCAAATTTATAGTTTATGAATATTTATCAGTCAAATTTGAGGAGTTATAGTAATATGGAAAATAAAAGTAGAAAATGAGGGTGGGTTGGCTCAGTGGTTAGAGTCATGACTTTGAGATCGGAAGGTCTCGGGTTCGAATCCCACCGTTGGCCGGGATTTTTTCATTTAATTTAATTATTTAAAATTAATTCTGATGCCTTGGTAGGATTCCCCACTCGACCATTCACTGTTGGGTTCTAATTAACAGTGCTGTTCCTAAAGTGGCGCTGGGAAACATTAACAAAGCCTACACAGAACACGAGGTGAAATAACCGTAGCAGTTGAAGCTGATGACACACCAAAAAAAAAAAAAAGTAGAAAAAGTAGTCGTCCAATGAATTTTACAACTAAAGAATAACTTGTTAGTCAATTGTGAAAAAATCTATGTGAATGTAATTGAGAATAAACACTGCATATTTAAGATTAAAGATAAGCGCCCATTTGAATGTATCGAACGGACGCATCGGACACACGGATTTGGAGAACATGTTTTCCACTATTTTAAATGAATCAACACACACTGATTCATATCGAGTAGACGGAAATACAAAAAGTATTCTTGAAAGAGAATCAATTTCCTCAAGCCGATGAATGCTGATGAGGTTCAATTGTACTATACAAAACGCGGAGAGCAGATCTGAGTCTATGCCCTGTCTACAAGAAAATTACGATTCCTCCAATGCTTCTGTTGCGATAAATGCGTGCTTACATTAAGTCTGTCGCTATACATTTTTCGTCTTCTAGGATGAACAGACATAATATTAATTCATTAAAATACTCATCATCCATAAAGTCATCTATATTAAAATAAGAGTAAAAAAAACACAAAAAACCAAAACAACTTAATTGTAGTTTAAAAGACTTTTTAAATTATAATTATAGGTTAGGAACGCCTGATTAACATTTTAAATGCTCAATTTTCGTCGGTTAACAAATGTTACTTTTAAAACTGTTTAACAATAACCGACGATTATACAACGAGTTTCACAGTTTAAACCACAGTGCAATGCTACACGATCCTGCAGATCTAATCAAAAATGGCACAGCTCTGGGATGTTTAGCGGCACTACAACGCATGCGAATTTTGGAGTTTATGGAGAAAATACAGATATTTTTTTATCTTGAACATGCTTTAAAATTAATTTATACGAAGCTGTAGCGGACATTCTGTGATTTGACTAAGGTGTTTTATTGTGTCAATCATACAGTATTGTTGAAAAAATTTCTAGTTGATAAAATCTTATCTTTCAGAATGCAAGCAAATGGTAAGAGTTATTATGTACTCAAGTTTTAGACATAAGTAGTATAAGTAGGTACACAGGGTTTTGTGTTGAGTCCCATTTTATTCCTTATTTATATAAATGACTTAACATTGTACTTTCACAGAAATTACACCTATAGAAAGTCAACATTGAATGGACTAATACAATAAAATTTCTGAGCGTTAATTCAGACAATATGTATTAGAAATATAAGAACCATATAAAATTGCTAAATAAAAAAACTTTCTTCTGGATGTTTTGCAGTCAGAACTGTGGCTAAATAAGTAATTGCATTTTGGGGAAGTTGTAGCCGTGAGAGTCAATACTGTTTATATTAGCAAAAGAGAGCAATACAATTTTTATGTAGAATGAACAATCTCAACACATTTTTTCAACCTTCTCGAGTAAGAGAATAATGCCAACAATTACTCTTGACTACATTGAATTGATAAAAAAATATGATATGGACATCAATGTCATGTGTTGATGATAATGATTTTCAAGGAATAAAAAGACTCCTTCCGACATTATCATTCATTTCGCAAAAGTTGTGGCCTATATATCTGGTTTTGTTGCCATAACTTATACGGCAGACCTTGTCCCTTATAAATAACATGATGCTTCCGGAACCAAATTTTATTGACATTTTTAACAATACTTGAAAATAATTATTGGAATGAATATGACAACCATTTATTCAGTTATTCTGTAGAAGATAGCTATAGAAAGAAAATAATCAGGTTAATAACAAAAATTTATTGTAGAGTTAAATTTTTCAATGTAGTCAAAGCGCAAACTGAAATTGATAGGAGAACACCTTTCAGAAAAAAATTTAAGTTTATTCTTTTCCATCACCAATAATAAATTTTAAAGTCGTGTAAGTATGTTAATAGGTACAAGACAGCTGCAAAATAAATGGCGCAACTACACTGAAAAATAACTATTGTATTTGCTTGACCATATACATATTTTATCTGAAATCAATAATAATTGAATAGTTATTTTTCAGTGCAGTTGTGCCATTTATTTTACACCCATCTTATATGTATCATGAAACAACAACAATCAGCAAGTCGTGCTCCAAACCTATTTTTGTTTTTTGTATGTACGTATTTTAAGTGAAACCAACTGTACATTTTTCCGTGTACCGTGTATTAATCCATCCAGTTAATGTTGACAAAATCAGGCATTAATTGGCCTCATTATTTGTCTACTTTCTATTATTAACCGTTTATCTACAACTAACTATACCTGCATTGTTATGAACTATTCTTAATTGATATTCTTTAGTAACGCTATAAGAAAATTGAATCTTTGAAATCAAATATTAAAATTTAAAGCTTGATTTTCATTTTATTAGAAATTTGGTCGATGAAAAAATCTTGTAAAGAACTCTTATATTAAAAGGTGATTAATAAACTAGGTCGTTAAATAACTATTAAAAGCCCCTGCACTTTCTACATTGATTTTGGGTACTGTCAGAATTTGTTCAAATTTTAGTATGTTATTGTCTTTAAAGGCAACTTTCTTATGGACCTCAAGTTTGTTGCATTACCAGGGGCGTGCGGTCCATGGAAGCGGGGGAAGCACCGCTTCCCTACACTTTGAGATTTAAAAATAAATATTTTTCAGTTTACAATGCATAGGAATTAATATTAAATTAGGTACTATATTTTCTCTGAAACGTTACGTAAACTTCGTAAATGTACTAACAATTCATTGGTGTAATGTGTAAACGCACGCACCACCCATGAGAAAATTAATTGTGTAAACGCACACACCATATACTTCAAGTCCGTCGGCGGAAGCGCGTCTTGAAAAAGCCGGCTAATCTTCCAATTGATTTCGCTTCGTGTTATTGACCCTGCTTTGCCGCGACAGTAATCAGTCTGTTTGCACACGTGAAATACGGTCGAGAGGCAGCGATTTTTACGTCGCCTTACGCTTATTGTAATTCGCACCGCGAATCAACGTGTGGAAAATCGTAGACTTCAGATAGATTTCGGTTTGTTTTTCGTAGTTGTTTTTCTTTTTGTAAAATGGAGCAACTATGCACTGTGCCTGTGAACAATAATAATGTGGTAAATTGTGTCTGTATTGTGTGCTCTTAATTGAAAAAAGGATTTTCAAGTAGAAATTTTGAAGAGAAAACGGACATTATTAATTCTAGAAGACTAAAGGATCCTATCAATTTAGAGACAAAAGTAGAAAAGTCAGCAAAGAAATTTACCAGGCATTTTCACGTAGGGTTCTATGAAAAGTATGAATGGTTAACCGGCTGCAAAACTTTGAAGAAATTGTTTTGCTGGCCTTGCCTACTTTTAATATAGCCGAAAAAACACATTGGAACTCAGTCGGTATTACAGAGTTGAATAATTTTCAAAAAAGTGTAAAACGACATGTAAATAGCAAATCTCATACATACAAGTGTTACAATTAAAGAAAAAACATTCGGGACCTATCGCATTGAACATAGTTTGGACAATCATTTAAAAATAAGCAACAAAATTCACAATGAAAGGGTAAAAAAATAGAGACGTCTTACAACGATTAATAGATGTAACTTGTTTCCTGGGAGAGCATGAACGAAGTTTTAGGGGTCACAATGAAGCAAGTGGATCCGCCAATCGAGGAAATTACATGAACCTTCTAAGTTTTTTAGCAAAATACGATGATACCCTAAAAACTCATTTTATTGATTCGACGACTTTCCGAGGTACCTCAAACAGAATCCAAAATGATTTAATTAAATGCACTGCCGACGTTGTGATAGATCACATTAAAAGTGAAATTAAAAAAGCACCTTTCGTATCAATTGCGCTTGATGAAACCACAGATGTAGCAAACTTAAGTCGATTATCCATTGTTGTGTGATATGTTTTGGATGGCATTCCTCAAGAGCGATTCTTAGGATTTTTGGACGTCACTAGCGAACGAACTGCAGATGCATTGTTTAAAATTGTTTGTGACATTATTTCAAGTTTGGAATGTGGTTCTAAGCTTGTTGCCCAGAGCTACGATG